CTATGAAACTTTGCCTCACCCACCCTACTCTCCGGACCTCTCGCCTACTGACTACCATTTTTTTAGACACCTGGACCACTACTTACAACACATAATATTCAAAAATCAAACGGAACTGGAAAATGCATTTATTGACTTTATCAATTCTAAAAATTCTGAATTCTACTCAGACGGAATTAATAAGTTACCAACACGTTGGGAGAAATGTATTGAGAGTATGGGAAATTATTTTGATTAAAGAACATTGCTTTAAAGTAACTAGTTTCTTTTTTTTTGTTTAATACCAAAATCCTGCATTATTTTCCGGACAACCCAATAGAAAAATATATATATTTTTTTTTTATGAAAAACTTTCTATGGTGATTCTAAACTAAGTTTTCCAAACCTAGAGACCAGAAAATTTCAGAAAACATCCTCCATTTAATATACTTTTTATTGGTGTAATTGCTTTTTTAATTACATTTTTAAAAGATGAAGAAATTGATGAAGTAAAGGAAAAACTGAGGTTGACAGATTGGTAAGGTGGAAAGATTAATAATAACAAAAGATAAAAAAAACTTAAGGAAATTTTGAATGAATTTATTAAACTTTTTTTAATTTCGATTCGAAATGCTCTCCACCCCCCGCAATGGACAAACGAACCCATTTTCTCATATTAGCCTCCGTAACTCGAAAGTTAAAGTTTTTCAGCAGCGGACAGAATCGTTTAAAAGGTTTGGTAGTTCATGGTAAACTTCAATCTTCATGGATCCCCCCTGCACACTTGCAGTATTTTGGATTCGAACCCAAATTAAAAAATGTTTAATAAATTTATTCAAAATTTCCTTACGATTTTTTTTTTTCATTTTTCCACCTTACCAATCTGTCAACCTCAGTTTTTCCTTTACTTCATCAATTTCTTCATCTTTGAAAAATGTAATTAAAAAAGCAATTACACCAATAAAAAGTATATTAAATGGAGGATGTTTTCTGAAATTTTCTGGTCTCTAGGTTTGGAAAACTTAGTTTAGAATCAGCATAGTAAGTTTTTCATTAAAAAATAATAATATTTTTCTAAGTTCTGTCTACTAAAATGCTTATTTCACCGATGTTGACAAGTTTAGAATTAATCACATCTTATTAGAAATTTAACGTTGTTTTCAACGGTATCGACAGATTTGTTTTGGAGTCATCATTGTTTATTTGAAGCAAGGTAGTCAAATCTTAAAAAATCAGCGAAAGGGGAATAACTCCGAAGCTGTTGAGATTCAGACTGTACATAGTTAATTAAGACTTTTTGGCCCCATTTTGAATGTAGAATCTACTGGTAAAGTTTGTAAGGTAGCCGAACACTCTGTATACATTTTTTAAGTTATTCACGAAGATGTACGATAAGGTCAAGCTATGCAAATGTTTTTATATTTTAGTTACAAAATTTAATCTTAAATTTATAAAATATACTTCAAGGCTTATCTTTGGTCCCCTTCCCAACAAAACTGGGAATTTAACCGTTAACGAGTTAATTTTAATTGTGACACCCTAGCACAATCACTAAAACCCTAACAAAAATCACGCTAATACCTGAAAATTCTGTACTTCTATCTTGAATGTAATGTGCCCAGGTTTATCATTACTATTCAAACTAATTTTTATTATTTATGTACAATTACTATCTTGGTTTTCTGATAAAATCAACAATTCCAGTTGTTACTGTGTGATAAATTCATTCTCTTATCAATACCCATGATTCGTTCATAATCAATGATAAAACAGATAAAAGAAAATTAACCGAAGATTTTTTTTAAAAACAAAATCCTAATTTTATAAGTACTGTCACCGAATTTTTATCCTACATCAATACAAGAGTCTAACACTTATGAAACTAAAGTACACATTTGAATCAGTTATTTGCAAGGCATTAATTTACAATGAAATTATACAAAAGTACAAGAAGAAATGATTTGAGTTTAAATAAAAATATAGATAAAGTTGATCTATTGATAACAAAGCTGATTAATAAATAGTTTGAAATTAGGCTACTACAAAATCACACGATTTATTAAAAATTCTATAAAATGTTTTACGCTCACCAAAGGAGTAATGACAAAAAATAATTTACTAGCCAAACGTAACTTTCAAACAGCAAAAATAGTACTACTTTTTTTCTACATACAGGCTGCAATATATTTTTTATTGTGACTATAAAGAATAATAGATTAGCTAAAAGTATAATTAAAAAAGAAAAATAAAGATATTGAGATAAGCAGATAAAATAAATAAGTAGGAAAAGTAGAAAATATAAAAAATTAAGCTAAAGGTTGAAAAGAAAATATATAGCAGTCACTGACAAAAAAGAGGGCAGATTATAGGATTCAAATTTAACCCCCTGGGGAGATTGAAAAAACCTAAGCAATGTTGCTAAAAAGATCACTCAGTTTAACTCACATATTACCTAGATCATGCTTAACCCTACTTAACCTAACCCGTCCCTAACTCTACCTAACCTAACTTGTCCTTAACCATACTTAACCTAACACAATCCATGCTAATTAAGCTAAAGGTTGAAAAGAAAATATAGCAGTCACTGACAAAAAAAGAGGGCAGATTATAGGATTCAAACCCCCTGGGGAGACTGAAAAAACCTAAGCAATGTTGCTAAAAAGATCCCTCAGTTTAACTCACATATTACCTAAATCATGCTTAACCCTACTTAACCTAACCCGTCCGTAACCCTACCTAACCTAACTTGTCCTTAACCATACTTAACCTAACACAATCCATGCTCACTCCTTAGTAATGCATAAAAGTTTGCTAAAGAAATTTGTTTATTACTGAGTATCAGTGATTTAACACACATCTATAGCTTCCATTATACAATCACCAAAATCTCAGCAATCAGTACTTTCTTTTATTTAGACTGTCCTCTTATCAAAAAATCTACATATAAAAGCATTATTCAAATTAGAAAGAAATCAATGGACAGGCACATTACATGAAAATTTGTTATAAATTTTTCTTTTGTCGGACTTAGTTTTTTAACTAATCTTGATAATTATTATTTTATTATGTTTTACAAAAATAAGTAAATAAATCTACAAGAGATCTTTTAAGACTCAGTGGAAGAAAGAGAGACTTTGGAGTTGACTACAAGAAAAAATTTTATTGCTTAAACACACATCAAAGAACCTACATATAAAAGCATTACAAAAATTAAATAAATCTCAGTATACATCAATGAGCAGGCACATTACATTCAAAAAATTTTCTACAAACTACTGAAATTCAATGATAGTAGAGACAAGAACAAAATAAAATTAGTATAAAACAATATTACATACATTTTTATCAGTTGATTCTGGGTTTTTTGTGGGGCTTGCTTTCTAACCAAAATGCCAAACATCAAATATGACAGGCTATACTTCCATAAGAAAATTGAAAATTATTTCTATTAGCTGATTTTCTATCAAAAACATGAAACACTCGACTAAATTTTAAGATCTAGTTGTATCAAGCATGATGAGCGAGTATAAAATAATAAATTTTAGTTTATATTAATCGATTAAGAAGTGAACTTTTGTTGGATATGATTTTCAAGTTTGCTCTTTTGTTGTGCATATCGAAATAGATAAATCCTTGACAAAGAAAAGAACAGAATGTAATCACGAATGACAAAAAGTAAAAACAAAACAAAAGATTTTTTTAAAATTATCCTATAAATTTATCTTGTATATGAAGGTATATCGTATATAAATGAGACTTTTACGAAAGCAAAATTTTGAAGTGAGTGCTGCTTTTAGAGTACTGCATTGGATGTCAGGATTGAGAGAGCCATTGGTCACCTGTTCTGACCAGGCAGAAGCCCTCAAGATGCCAGAACTGGACATAAAACCAGCAGAAATTCTTCAAAGATTGACTCCTTAATTTAGAGAACAACAACAAATGTGTGGTAGATTGGCCTTTCGACAGAAGTCAAAGTCTGCTAACTTTCAGCCCACTGTGACCATCCTATCTACAGCCCTGAGATTTCTGCCAGCAATTTCGAGATGACACGATGTGACCTTTCTGAGCAATTCGCTCCTGGCACAACTCTCTTTGTTTTATGATATTGGGTTCTAAAAAATCCAAATCTGCTGGGAAAATAATGTATTTCCAAAGCAGGAGGATATTTGATTTACCATTGACCTAACCTATTTTTAAAAAATCCATTGAAAAACTAAAGAAATTGCAGTATGTAGTAGCCATGAAATATTCTAACCCTTTAGGCAACTCTTCTTTAAAAACCTAAAAAATCAGACTTTAAAGCAAAACATGCATTGAAAACTTTCTATATTTCTCTCTCTCCTTTAAATTTATTACACCATACGTTTAAAACTTTTTTTTTCTATTTTAAAAGTGAAAATTTGTTACTTGGTCTATATTTTTATTTATGCGCCATATAATAATTTGTACATTTCCTTATGAATCATATCAATGAATGAGTATCAAAACACAGAATTTGAAAATTATGGACAAAACATACAAATAAAATTAAAAACCATGCCACTATAATATAATATTGATTAAAAAAGCAAAATAAATAATTTCAGCAGGTATAAACAGAAAGATTATAAAAATAAAAACTATTAATAACAAATTTAACATAATCGCTACAAACTGTTAAAGCCCACAGTACTTTGCATTCAAACAAACAAAAAAAATATATACATTAGAGAATAAAAAGTCAGTAAAATAAATTTTGTGCTGTTACTGTCCATGCCATGCCCAAGCAATCGCTACTTCATAAATATGTGCAAATAGGTGAAAATTTTCAGTTTTCTTTTTCCAAAATGGTCTGAGTAACTGTCTGTTATTGTTAACAAGAGATAAATGTTAAATAATCATTGACTGCTTTTTTGAAGTTTTAATTACCAAAACAAAACCATTACCAGGTAATCATATTCTTCTTCAAAATTGCTTTGATTGTAGAAAAAGAACATGGTTACAAAAAAAAATGAATAAAATAAAGACAATATGATAATTACCACTGTCTGGGGCAGCTGTGAAGATGTAGGTTTCATTTCGAGGCGGCCTTCTGAAAATTTATGAAGCGCTAACCTCTGGTCCTGAAACAAATATACTCTTTCATAATTTATTTATGAATGTATTTATAATAATTCAATTGTTAATCTTAATATTTCTTTGATTTTCGGGTCTTAATTTAAGAAGATAGATGTAGTAACTTGAAATAATTTATATAAGCTTTTTAATATTAAAATTTGGTATTCAAAAATCAGTAATAAGGTCAATTTGAAAGAAACAAAACAGCTTCGTCAAGCTTTCAAAGAATATTCTGATTACTGATTTATTGATTTGTAATGGGTGAAAAAAATTGCTGTGAAACTTCATCGAAAATGGAGTAGAATGCCGCCAGAGCAGGTGTCCTGTCTCTGTTTAATACGGAGTTATGATTGTACTTGTGCTTTTTGAAGAAAAAAAATCGGAACTTATGCCATTAAATCGCGTTTTCACAACTTTTACCTAATTTATTCGCAGTTTTGACTCTTTTATCCGGCTAAAAAGTTGGTAAAATCTTACCCCCTGTCAAGAGAGTTTCTCTTACAAATAAATATTTACAGGGGAGTCAGTCAACCCACCTTCGCGTTCCAATGAGAAGCTGCTCAATTTTGAACATGCGAAAAACGTGAATTATATCACAACTAAATATTATCCTAATAAATACTGTAAGAAAATAATTTTAAATTAGTGATTAATTTGTATGTCAAATATTATTTACGTACAAATTTAAAATAGAATGTAAATAAAAATCTGTTATATTATTTACGCATTTATCTCCAAGTTTAATTTTCACATTTTTTTATTTCAAATATCTCAAGCCAATCTAGTTCCCTACCTTTATTGAAACTGAGTAACCCTGTTGTATTAAATTTAAATTGAAATTGAGTTTTGTTTCATTTAGATAGTCCTGAAAATCTGAAAATTTGTTTGATCTAGGCAAATTTTTCACTCTCGTTTTAATTTCTCTGCCGCTATGTCCTATATATTTAATATCGCAATCATTACAATTATGTTGGTAAATCCCACTTTTTGACAAGTTGTCAACCTTGTCTTTGGGTTTTGGGTGGCTGTTTCTAAGTGGACGTGTACCTCTAAAAGCTATTCCTTAAGCTAAACCTTAAGAATTTTACCTACTTTTTCTGGTAGTTCACCAATGTAGCAACGAAAACCCAATGATTCATTAGGGGGCGATTCTTTTAAAGTTAATAGGAGTGTCAGTGGACACAGCGTTTTAGGTGTTGAACGGCGCTGTAAGGTATGGTCCAGGGTTCGAATGCAGAACTGGACATACTTATAATATTTTTTGTAGATGAAATACCCTCGTTGAAAAAAGTCAATTTTTTTATTTTCTTTACTAGTAACATATTGATAAATATATTTTGATATCCATTGTTTTTAGCCAAGATTTTAATTGTTGTAATTCTTTTTTGTAATTAACAGGTGTCAATGGGACTTTCAACCAAATGAATCCACAACCTTTTTGGGTCCATGGTTGAGAAGAATCTGCTGATATCAAAGTGTCTGTAGTTGTGGGTTTTCTATATACGTCTATACCAATTAGATTATTTATTATGGACAGTTTTAACCCTAAAAAGTTTTAAACGACCATCTTTATTGATTTTCCAATGTAAAATTTTTACTAGGATGTTAAGAATTAATTAATTGGAGGAATCCTTTTAAATCCTCTAGTGATCCCGATCATACGCGTAAAATATATTCTACAGCTTTTTCAAAAAAGAACAGACTTAATTAATTTATTGTTTGATTTGAAAAGAATTTTTTTTTAACTATGAATATTTCAGCATGAAGTGGGGATTACGGAGAGCCCCCATTGTTCGAAATCTGGATCATTAAAAACAACAAACTGTGAGTAAGAACTGTCTTTTGGAAAGATGGGCATACACGTGTACAGAGTTGAGCCTATTACTCCTCTCAGTACACCGGCACTCGATAATCACCTAACTTGGGTGTTAGCAGTCCGGGGACAGACCTCACTCTTATCCATCCAGCCACCTTTTTTTTAAATTCCTATTTACCATTCACTCAGTAATGGTGGTGTACATGATATTCCTCCATCACCCTCCACAAATATTATACAACTAATGTAATTGAGGGTCGATGGGGTATTCTGCCATCAGCCCTCACACAAATAAATACATTCACTCTCAACAACCACTAAGGACAGAAAACTATCAGCAATATGCCCAATAAAACATCCCAGAATCCAATCCAGGAGACCTAAATAACTGTGTGCTCAAGCAAAATTCTCATTATTGGATGGTATTCTACACACTCGTTAAACGAAGCCAAAGAATGGCACCCTTCAATTAGGTGGGGAACAACATGCTGCAGGCTTTAATCCAAAAGTAAGTGTAAAAGCTTACCAGCTTTTTTGACTAAAAAGTTGGTAAAATCTTACCCCCTGTCAAGAGAGTTTCTCTTACAAATAAATATTTACAAGGGAGTCAGTCAATATGAATGCTTTTCATAACATATCCACTTGCAAGTACCAAATTGCAAGCTTTTAGTTGTGTTAACCTTGTTTGACCTATTCTTAATTGGGTGGTATTGAGTCCTCTTCCACAAGTCAGATCAAAGAAGCATTTTCTTTTTAAAAAAATCTCAAGTTGATTTCACTAAAAATTAATTATAATTGGTGCATGAAGGATTGTTTCTCTATTAATATGACTATATTACAAAAATATTAATTATTATTCTAAAAGTAAAGACTTTTTTAGGCTAAAAAGTTGGTAAAATCTTACCCTTTGTCACGACAGTTTCTCTTACAAATAAATATTTACAGGGGAGTCAATATGAATGCCTTTCACAACAAATGTCAACTTGCAAGTACCAAATTGCAAGCTTTTATTTTTATTTATTTATTTCTTGGGCCATAAATTAAAAGCACTAATTTTAAAAAATCCCTTTTGCTTGGAATTGTGGAAAATTTTTGTTAATTTTAACAATAAACTCTTACTCTTTTGTATTTTTACACAAAAAAGCACATTAAAAAGGAAGAAGTCTTTTAAAAAAACAGTTTAAAAGTTAAAGCATTTTAAACTGTTACAGTATACATATAATGAACATATATTGATATATGAAGTTTTATGAACATAAAATCATTTTTAAAAAGTCCAGAAGGATAAGACGAATGAGTTTATTCAAAGAGTACTCCAGTTTTTTAAAACCCCTTTGGAAGAATGTTGTGAATAATGAAAATGTTAGTAACATGTCATTCCTAGTAAATATGCATGGCAACTTCAATAAATAAAAATGTTACCAGGCTTGGATAAGATGACTCCCAAGCCGTCTTTTCTACAGGCGGTACTGGTTGAGGATTATCATATTCAGTGTAAACAACTTTGTCAGGGAGATCTGAAGTTTGGCTGCGGAGTGCATGTTCTTTTCTTAAGTCGTATGTCGAATCAGCGGGGAATTTTGTTAAAGAATCGGCTTTTACCCTTTTAAAATCATCCAACTTGTTTGCCAACGTGGGATCTTTCGACGCACTGCCACTCATAAAGGATCCATGTGAGGGAAAATTTACACCATCTAAAAAAAGAAAAAATTACAAAGATAATATATAAAACGTTAATAGAATTGATTTAAAAATTAAAAAAGGCTAAATCCTTATAATTTGCAAATAACTAATAAAATTTAATGAAGCTGTAGCAATAAAAAATACAATCCTTAAGAAGAAAATATATAATTGAATCAAAAACTGAATAATTTTAAAAGTGTTTAAAAAATGTATCACCCTCACTCAACGTGAGGATAAAAAATTAAAATTAATAACAAGGTTTTTTTTAACTTTTTTCATATTTTACACTTTCTAGCTTTTGTTATTCTAAAAAGAAACTTACATTACTATAAGTTTAGTTAAGTTTAATTAAGTTAAAGTTAAATTAGTGTGGCCTAACTAAAAAAAAATATGTATATATGAAAATGCAAAACTTACATTCTTGACTATCCGCAGTTGCTCTTTCTTTCTGGTGCCGTTGTAAAATTTCCTCCAGTTCTTCCATTTTGATTTCTAACTTTCTTTTCACACCCTTTACTCTATTTGTAAAACATTTGTAAGCCTAAAAAATAATCATACGTATATTATCTCAGTAGAAAAAATTTAAAAACAAAACCGGCAGTTCAAGAAATTCAGTCACCAAACAATTTGATCTTTCATTACTAACATTTATTCTTATTTAAAAATATACAGCTTTGTGTGTGAATTGAACAATTGTCGTCGAGAATCCAAACCGATTACACGACATTTGAAAAATGGCAAAAAGGAGGGAAAACTCATAAGGTGGGGTTGAGATAGGAAGTTGATGTCCGAGTGGATCGATGTCACGATAGCTCAAGTGGTAGAGCAGCGGCGTATCTAGCCGAAGATCGTGGGTTCGAATCCCGCTCGACACGACATGCAAGAATGACACAATTACATAGAAGGCAAACACTTTAAGTGAGTAAAATACTTTGATTGAATATATAAAAAATATATTTTACATTGTATAAATTCACTTTTCCACATCCAAAATGTAATTGTTATATGTAAACAATGTTTGTAAATCCCAGGCCCTGAAGATGATTTCAATAAAGATCGAAACGTTGGCATGATAAAGAAAATGTTTTTCTGAAACCTACATCACACCAGACCGCATCTCACGATTTCTGAATAATTAATTATAAAATGTTCAAACTTACATTAACTACTATTTTAGCTTCTCCGTAGTCTCTTTCATAGTATTGGTCACCAGTGTCAAGGAGATCGAGCAATCCTTTTCTTTCCTTAACTTCAGCCTCTAATGCGTTTATATAAGCGGTCACTTTTTTCATAGTTTCATCAATGTCGCTAACAACATCTTCGCTCGCTTTTCTATCTATATTTTTTTTTTATTAAGTATTATTAACAACTTTATTACAATTATAAAACGAAAAATCAAACCTTTTAAAGTTGTTTGGAGGCCTTCTATATCACTAATCGTCATTGAACTTTCATTCATTATTTTCAATTTATATTCCGTGTCTTTTTCTAGATTTTTGCAACTTTTTAATCTTGAGTACAAAATTGAAGGCTGCAATAAAAAAATAATAAATAAATACAAATATCACCTTTGACTCACTTTTACACGACTATTAAAATAAGTATACAAATAAAAACTCACTTGATAATCTTCTATGTCCACTCTTGGATTGGATTTGTTGCCGTGAGTTAACAAACCACTGAGATCAACGAGAAAAGACTCATCATATATATTTCTATCATCCCAAATCTTAAATAGCCTCAGGATTTTATTTCTTATCGATTCATCTCTAAATATAATATATTATATAGTGGATAGTTTATTCATCGATAATTATTTACTCTTACCTAACCATGGTAGTCGCTTTTTGAAGCGCGGGAGCGAAAGCATCCACGTACGGCAACTGCTTTCGTTTGCTGTACTGAATGACATCGTTGGCTAGATAAAACATCAGGACTCTATGGTCTGTCCTCACTAAAAAAAATATATATATGAATTGTAAAACATTGTTTTGTTTTATAAATTATATTATTATATAAATTAAAACAAAACTAACCTCGTTTAAGAACACTAAGCCATGTAGATACTATTTTGGAATAATGTTGTTGGTTAAACAAACACCACGAAGATAGAGATGCAATACTATCGTGCGTATCTTTGAGTTGGTATAATTTTTGTTCAAAAGCTTGCTCATTAAAAGATTCCATTGCCTTTTTACCCTCGACGCCCGTCATTTGGCAAAATGTTTAACTAAAACATGCATAATATAAAATAAGTAATGATTCTTTAATGATTTTATAAAAACTTAAGTAAATTTTAAAGTAGTTTAGAAAAATTTTTATATTCATTATCGTTTTTATGTTCATTTTAATCTATACAATATAGATCAAAATATCACAGATTTTTGCATGGTGGTTTGTCTTTGTGTTATATTCATCAATTGTAAAACCACGTTTTTTAAAAAGTGATTGGGTGGCGGGAGAGCTTCAGTATTGATATGATGTTGGTAATGGATTAAGTCTGGATTTATTCACTTTCTATTCAATGCTATATAGCATTTGTAAGCGGAGTAAAACATGTATGTAAATTTTTATTAACTAATGTGTTTGTACAATTTTTTTTTGTGGGTCCACAGTAGGTTTGTGTGGGTATTGAATAGTTGTCATTGTTCACTATCATCTGGTATGGTAATAAGGATACTAGGAAGCGGGGGTTTGTGCTCGTTATCGTCTGAAAATGATTGTTAATTTATTTTCTTGCCAGTGTTTTTTCTCTTAACTCACAAGTAATAGTACATGAAGTTTTTTGTCAATCTGATTCATTTTGCCAGCATTTTTCCTCTGAACTCACAAGTTATTGTATATAAAATTTTATGTTGATATTATTCATCTTGACAAAGTTTTTTTTCCTGAAGTCACAAGTTATTGTACAAGAAGTGTTTTGTTGGTATGATTCGTCTGGCAAATGTTTTGTTCCTAAAGTCACAAGTTATTGAACAAGAAGTTTTTGATGACCTGATTCGTCTTGCCAGTGTTTTTTCTCTGAACTCACAAGTTATTGTACATGAAGTTATTTGTTGATCTGATGGTGTATATACTTTTATTACAGGAACTCGCTCAATTATCGACATAATTTATTATCGTCAACTGTTATAATGTTATAATAAGAAAAACGCACATTTCTTGTCAGTTGTGCTATTATTATTGACAATTATAAAGCAAGTTGATTTTTGTTCAGATGATGAGTGACGAAATATATCCCCCCCCTAAAAGCAGTGCTCAGGGTTAATTGCAGCGAAAATGCTATAAAATACGAATAAAATCTTAACATAGTTTACTTTTTACACTCCGATTTCTCCCTCCCGATGTTAAAGCTGTGATTCACATCATCATGCCGAAAGAACATAAAAGAGGTATGAAATCATTCGAAACATTCTTTAAATGAAAATTTGTCAGAATTTTTTTCTTCGTGAAAATCTTTGTCATAGCACTGAGGCAAAATTAGGAGAAAATTTCATTAGCTGGAAAATTACGAGGATGTGAGATTAGATCTGACCATTAAAAAACTGCAATACTACCAGAAAGTTGTGTAGAAAAAATTGTTAAAACTGTGGATAGACTTCCATATTCAATGTTCACTAAAAATACCTGCAATGATGTAAAAGTAATTTTTTTTATTACTTAATGTAACCATCCTAATTTGTACATATTGTACTTTATTTTTTAAAACTTTAAATAAGTGAATAATTAATTTTGTTTTTTAAACAGACATACAGTAAATTTCTACTAATGAAAGAAATGTGATAACTTCTAATTTTCCAGCAAGAATAAATCCAAGTATAAATAAATACCTTGAGAATACAGCCGGCAAAATATTGGTGTTGATCAGAACATAAAAGTGGCAACCGAAAAGGTACACAATCATTTTAAACATTGCCCTTACATTAAATAAAAGGCAATGTGTGCACCATTTGCAGCGCACTCCGATGTATAAATCATGTCATTATCAGCCCTGAAGTCAAACGTTCTGCAATAGAGAAAAATAAATCAATTAGGTGGTAAAGAAAGTGAGAGAGTGGGAGGGAAAAGAAAAAAAAATATAGCATATTCTTCCTTCAAATTTTATTTTTCAGACATATAAATTTATTTGCAGTTATTTTTCTGTAAGAAAAGTACAGAACTAACAAAACCAATAATTATTGAGGTGTTTTTTTGTTGTTCCTGTTATACTCATTTTCAACAACCACTGCGACTAAACTGATTTTTGTACATTGACTGTACACTATATAGATACCTTGGAAAGTGCCCATTACTTAAAGAATTTAAGCATTTTCCAATTTGAGAAGTTGCTACTTTAAAACAAAATAATTTCTTGGTCTAAAGTTTGCTTTGAACAACTAATCAAGACGATCTGAGGGTAGAAACTAAAACTGCAATGAGATAAAAACAAAATTAACTATTTCCCTGGTCATTGAAATTAATTGTGACAAAAGGAAGTAAACGATAAATGGGGAAAATGTGGCCGATAGCTAAATTGATAAATCTTAAATCATCCAGCCAGCTTTTACTGGGATTTCATAAAATTTCAAGATGTTTAATATAATATAATTTAGTGGAAACTGTAAAAAAAATTTGAATGGTAAAAAATTGTAATAGGATACGCTGAATGAAGTTGAGTATGATCACCTGAGATCATCCCAGCCTGCATGTTCTAACAGGATTTGTTTTGCCATTTTTCAATTTTTGGAGTTTTCTTTATAGCCCGGACAAAGTCCCTTCAAAATCCAAAGGCAGGCCAATTTTGTACAAAAATAATTAGACACTGTGAAATGGTGAGTATGTTTGAGAAGTCTTACAAACCGCAAGTAGTTGGTGCTAATAGGCCAAGTGGTTCACAAATATTCAGCGGAACTACAAAAAATGTTTGGCACTTTTTATCGATGTATATATGCTCAATACTGTGCATGTATGTACATACATACTATGTGTACAAAATCAAACTTATGACATCTCGTGGCAATCCACAAGTAACACCCACCTCGGGTTTTGCAGTCTGATGTTGGTCCTGTCCTGCCACCGAAGTTTGATTCCAGGAGCTGTCAATAACCCTGGTTCTTAAATCTAGACACAATTTCACTCATTCGCAAAAACATTTTTTCCTATTTACATACTATTCACACAATCAGGATGGAGTGTTTGATATTGTAACTAATCTAATTGAGGATCGACAGGGTACTCTATATTCCACCATGGGCTCTCTCACACTACACATTCAGACTAATAAATACATTCACTCACAATAAACACAAAGGGCAGACAAAACGAGATATCTATATGTGCTGCATACAATAATACAGCCCTGTTTCCTCCACAAATCGGAAAACAAGATCCAAATACTTGCTGCCAAGCTCTATCACAATTCTCATATTGGGTGACATTATTTCACGCTCTCCAAGCCAAGGAATGGCACCTTTCACTTAAGTGAGACACATCGAGCAAGTAACTTCAATATTATCAAACAATTAATTAAGGTTTTAAGTTGAGATAAAAAAGTCAGTGTGACGAGAGGGATTCGAACCCACGACCTTCGGCTTGATACACCGCTGCTCTACCACTTGAGCCATTGTGACTTCGATCCCCTCGGGCACCAACTTCCCATCTCAACCATACCTTTTTGAATTTTCCCTCCTTTTTGCCATTTTTCAAATGTCGTGTAATCTATTTGATTCTCGGCAACAAATGAAATGGCCACGGAGAGCTTTAATGAAGTATACTTCATTTTAATTCATTAAATTCACTATTTTTTGTGGTCCGCTTGACCAATTAATATCAATCAATTTTTATGTCAACTTCAACTCAAAACCTTAACCTTAATTAATTGAATTTAATTTATTAAAATGAAGTATACTTCCCTAAAGCTATCTGTTGCCATTTCATTTGTTGCCGAGAATCAAATAGATTACACGACATATGAAAAATGGCAAAAAGGAGGGAAAATTCAAAAAGGTGCGGTTGAGATGGGAAGTTGGTGCCCGAGGGGATCGAAGTCACGATAGCTCAAGTGGTAGAGTAGCAGTGTATCAAGCCGAAGGTCTTGGGTTCGAATCCCGCTCGTGACAATGACTTTTTTATCTCAACTTAAAACCTTAATTAATTGATTGATATTAATTGGTCAAGCGGACCATGAAAAATAGTGAATTTAATACTATCAAAATTGAAAAGAAAATGTGATTTGACAAAATTCAGCCACCAAATGTGTGACAATTATTTTTTATAGTTTAAAAAAATGGATAAGCTAAACTACAAGAAAATTGAAAAAGCACAAGGGCACATCTGAGACATAATCATCACAAAATTCAGATATTTTCAATATATCTGAATTTAATCACTTTCCAAAGGCGATTTGGTGAACTTCAGCCACAAAACATATGACAATTACATGCTGATTTTGTCTGACATTTTTTCCAAACTCTGCAGGTTTCCATTTTGCTTAATTGAAACGCATTTGACAAACCAAAACAGAGACAATGGTCATACCAATGGTATGACATCGGAATCGACAGGTTGAGTTCATCGCAAACACAGATCTCAAGAAGAAATTTCACAAATTAACAAACATGAATTAACAAAAACTATTATTACCACTCGGCAAAACGGTGGTTATCTGGGTACCTGGACACATATGTCTAGAGGGCAACAAAAAGGCGAGGCAGCTAAGTCCAGGACAACCTCTTGACTTAACCACCACGATCTGGCCCTCTGACGCTAAAAATGCAATAACAAACATGACTAAAAGAAAGGGGCAGCATCGGTGGGCTGGATAGGCAGAGCTGTCGCAGGACCCGACTCATAAGGCGTGTACATACTAAGCAAATCACGGCCAACGAAAGACAACCAATATATCCGACCGAACATTGGCCATCCTTGGCTCATCCTCATCAAACCAAGGGTTTCGGTCATAAGGAATCGTAGTCAACAATGTCAACCCTTTTGATGCTAATGCCGGAAGACTGAACCTTGACCAAGGCCAACCACTTCGTTGGTTCAGATTAGTCTTCCCTTACATACTAAGCAAATCATGGCCAATGAAAGACAACCAATAAATCGGACCGAACGTTGGCAACCAACACATTGGCCATCCTTGGCCGGTTAGGGATGGGATCATCAAACCAAGGGATTCGGCCGTGTGGAATCACAGTCAACAATGTCAACCCTTTTGATGCTACTGCTGGAAGACTGAACCTTGACCAAGGCCAACCACTTCATTGGTTCAGATTCGTCTTCCCTTACACACTAAGAAAATCCCGACAAAGCGGTTAGTTGTCTTTCATTGGATGTGATTTGCAATAACAAACATGACTAAAAGAAAGGGGCAGCATCGGTGGGCAAGATAGGCAGAGCTGTCGCAGGACCCGATTCATAAGGCACGTACATACTAAGCCACGACCAATGAAAGACAACCAATATATCAAACCGAACGTTGGCCGCCAACACATAGGCCATCCTTGGCCACCAACACATTGACCATCCTTGGCTCATCCTCATCAAACCAAGGGATTCGGCCATGTGGAATCACAGTCAACAATGTCAACCCTTTTGATGCTACTGCCGGAAGACTGAACCTTGCCCAAGGCCAACCACTTCATTGGTTCAGATTCACCTTCCCTTACACACTAATCCAATCATAACCAACAAAGCGGTTGGCTGTCTTTCGTTGGACATGATTTGCAATAACAAACATGACTAAAAGGAAGGGGCAGTGTCGGCGAGCTGGATAGGCAGAGTTCTCGCAGGACCCAACTCATAAAGCACGTACATACTATGCAAATTACGACAAACAAAAGACAACCAATGTATCGGACCGAACGTTGGCCACCAACACATAGACCATCCTTGGCCACCAACACATTGGCCATCCTTGGCTCATCCTCATCAAACCAACGGTTTCGGTCATATGGAATCGTAGTCAACAATGTCAACCCTTTTGATGCTAATGCCGGAAGACTGAACCATGACCAAGTCCAACCGCTTCATTGGTTCAGATTCATCGTCCCTTACACACTAAGCAAATCATGACCAACAAAGCAGTTGTTCGTCTTTCATTGGAAGTGATTTGCTTAACATGAACACGCCTTTAGAAGAAAAGTCATATTCGCTCAATTAAAAATAGGGCATGCAAGTTTGACACAGAGACACTTTCTTTTGGGCCAAAGCCTGCTGAACAGCATGTAGAAAAAGGTTTCTCGATCTGTCCCACCGAACTGAACGATGCAATTCCTGGCTTGATTCCATGATGAAACGGAACTCTCGAAAGCTTCTATGCGGAAGCTGCCATTTTATTTTTATCATGTCTTCAATTGGATTTTAGCATCAGAGGGTCGGATCACGGTGCGACGTCCCTCCACACAGAAAAAGAACCAACATAATCGACCAATTAGTTATAAATATCGAAGAAAAGATCAGATGTTCATTTAATGTTAAAATAGCATTTTGTTTTCAATTATATTCGTTAATTTTGTAGCATGGCGAAAAAAAATTTTTAATTGTGAATTTATTAATTTTTTTTTTTTTTTTAATTTAAGTTAACAGTTGTGATAAAGGAAATGCAGAAAGCTAGTTTTTGTTCGTTATCGCGAATATAGAAAATCTTTAGATATGCAGACTTATCAACAAAAATAAATAAATTTTAATAATTTAAAATGTATAAACAGCTCGTTGCAAGTTGGCCGTCGGGTCCTGGAATGAAAAGTCCCATTGACGGAGGACCGAAGTGAACAATCGGCGATGAACACTCGCCAAAATTTTAAAATGAGAAAAAAAAATTTTAAATTTAAAAAAAAAAGAAGCAAAAACGTTCAAAACTGCTGTCAACAATAAATCCCAAGTCGGAGACTCACCGAGTAGATGATAAATCGCCTATTAAGAATTATCGGGCTGTAGAGACGAAACGGAGCCGCGCCTCCTAGCGCACCGCCGATCGAAATAGATGTAAAAACATTATTTATTTATTTTTCTTTAACAATTGTATAACTTATAAACAAAAAGGGGTGCCGAGTGTAAAATGGCTTCAACAACAAAACTGAAAACAGTTGAAACTGAAACAGCGCCAATGCAGACTTGCGGAGGTGCGACACAAGTGATCCAAGGGAGGTTTCCATCCGTGTCGTCATTGTCGCCGTTGGTGAGGAGTGAGGATGACGCTACGGCATGACGCTATCGTCCTAATCCAAACATCACAGATACAATAATTTCTTCACAATTTGCACTTTTGTCTTAACAATTTTACATTATTATAACGTGCAACAACCCCAAAACATTCAATTAACAATAAAACATTGAAACTGTCATAATAAAAAAAAAATTAAAAACCCCCCGTTGACAGTTCCACCCTCTTTGAAATATAGTATGGTATTTATTTATTTACGGATCGAAATCCAATATAAAAAGACATTTTACAATAACAAAAAAATAAAAATTTATATATGTATATATACACACAAAAAGAATAAGGATATACAGGGCGAGTCATTTTTTGACGCACCATTGGAAAATCAACGTGGGTGCGTTTAAATCTGGCTCGAGGCTTATTTCCTTTGATTAATACGTTAATAAAAGAAAGTGAGTCAATTTTCGGCGCACCATAGGAAAATCAACATTGGTGCGTCTAATTATGACTCGGCACATTTTATTTTGTTAGTCTCGTACCAAAAAATAGGCGAGTCACTTTTCGACGCACCATTCGTTACAAATTAGTTTTAGTAGGTTGGAAGGAAAATAAACAAAACCAATATTATTAAAACATTATTTAAACACAACGTAAAAATTTAAAAAAAAAATTCTTCACAAATTTATTTGATTAAGGCTACTGTGTTGCAGCAAATGGAGGTCTGTTCGAACAATTATTATGATTTTGAACATTTTTGGTTTGCTAACAAAGGAGATTGTTACATTTATTTAATTTTTTTACTTTACCAGAAAAAAGGAGATTGTTACATTTATTTAATTTTTTTACTTTACCAGAAAAAAGGAGATTGTCACATTTATTTAATTTTTTTACTTTACCAGAAAAAAATACTCTTAAACCTTAATCAAATTAATTTGTGAAGAATTTTTTTTTTTAATTTTTACATTGTGTTTGAATAATGTTTTAATAATATTGGTTTTCTTTACTATCCTTCCAACGTACTAAAACTAATTTGTAACGAATGGTGCGTCGAAAAGTGACTCGCCTATTTTTTGGTACGAGACTAACAAAATAAAATGTGCCGTGCGTCGAAAAGTGACTCGCCTATTTTTTGGTACGAGACTAACAAAATAAAATGTGCCGAGTCATAATTACACGAACCAACATTGATTTTCCTATGGTGCGCTGAAAATTGACTCACTTTCTTTTATTAACGTATTAATCAAAGGAAATAAGCCTCGAGTCGGATTTAAACGCACCCACGTTGATTTCCCAATTCAAAAAATGACTCACCCTGTATATACATGGTAATATTATAAATGATAAATATAAAAATACAAATCAAAGAGTAAAAACTGAACAACAACAAAAATAAAGACATAATTATTAAGTACATTAAGGCAAATGAAACAAAATAAAGCTGAAAGACAATTGAAACTGTAGATAGATTAATACTGTATTTCAGCAATAGCTATTACAGGGGGGAGCCAAATGGCAAAATATAGATATATACATCAATAAAGATATCTTCCAATTTAAATTGACATGACACTACTTACAAAAGTAATAATAATAATAATAGCATGTAAGACTAATCAAATTAAATCATCAAATACATGGCGCTTAACTTAAAATCAATAATTACATGACGCAACAATAAAACATCATTCATTGACAATAAAAGCTCTCAAATTAAGTGTTTCATAAACAATATTGAACACAATTGCCTGGTTTTTGCTTCAAATTTTAGCAAGAACTCATGTTTGTCTAAATAGTTACTATTTACACATATATCTATGTACCTCTTTAAATAAAAGGATCTTTGAGGTTGGTAAATTGGACAAGGTAAAAATATAGGTTCCAAGTTCTCCTCTTGAAACAATTTACACGAAGTGCACATTGATTGTGTGTCAGTTACATATTTGAGCCCATTTACCAAAAAATTTCCTTAGCATTAGACAGCTGTAGTTGTATAAGTAATCTTTGCTTATTTAATGACAAATTTAGTTGTAAATAATTTTCACATTTATACAGGGAGCTGATTTTTTTATAAAAAGGGTTAAATTTTGAGTTTAGCACCTTTTCTATGTCTATTGAGTAGAGATTATTTTTCCACTTTGACAAAATACTTTTTTTTTCGCGTTTTAAACATTCAGGGTCACAAAGGCGCATCTTGTTACAACCAATACCAATCAATAACTTTTGCAATTGATAGAATGAGTCCCTATAATTTACTTCTAAATCACATGCTGATGAATTGGCCTTACGGAAGACAACATGAAAGGAACTTCTCAAAAGTGAACCATTTTCCGTGTTCAATACTTTTATCCACAAATTTAAAATTACTTTTAGCAACTGCACGGTAATGGGCTCAAGTTCAAGTTCAATCCTTACATAGTAACTAGGAGTATTTCTGGGCAAATGGTAAAGTTGCTTAAAATACCGTACTTGTAATTTATCCATTTCGTTAAAATGGCCAAGAAACTACAGTATTTAGGTACATATTTAATGAATATAATGCTCTTTGTAGATATATAATAAGACTAGAGTGCAAGATTTATGTGAACCAGCAAATGAAATAAATTGTAATAAACTTTTAACAGTATGAAATATAAAAGCATTTAAAAAAATATAAATTGGTAAGAAGATCCAACTAGAGTAGGGTTTTTGAACAGATTGCACAGAACTATTGAAGAAGTCAATGTTATTGAAGATTACAATTAATTAAGGTTTTCAGTTGAGAAAAAAAGTCAATGGCATGAGCGGGATTCGAACCCACGATCTTCGGCTTGATACGCCGCTGCTATACCACTTGAGCTATCGTGACCTCAATCCACTCGGACACCAACCTATTGAAGATGTTGTTACTTTGATCATCATTCGGTGAAGAGGAGAAGAGATCATGCAGTTGGAATTTTGGAATTCAACATAAAATAGTTTGTGGGTTTTGAGAGTGTGCGAATGGACGTGTAGCTGTAGCTGAGAGAGGAGAAAAGGTCTATCGATGAGATTGTTTAATAATTTAAATACAAAAACAATATCAAAGTAATCCCTTCTTTGTGCCAGTTCGAAAAGTTTAAATTGAGTGCGGATTCCAGGGTAGGTGGAGTTCGGAGGACAATTGAGTTTGTATGAGTTTTTTTTAAAATTTGTTTTGTACAGATTGAAGAAATTTTTGATAATTTAGATAGTATGGGTTCCAAACAGGTGTAGCGTATTCTAGTATGGGTTGTACAAAAGCTTTATAAAGATGGACAAAACATAGAGGAGTTTTAAATTCATAGGTGTTCCGGATGATGAAAGACATTGAGAGCAAGTTTGTTATTAGAGCACCAGGTTAACACATTATTGATAAAATTTTGTAATTTAAAGCAATCAGGATGAGAAATAATTTTGAAATAGATTTTCAGATTGTCAGAAAATAATAAAAATTGTGCTGAAGGGAGAGCAAGATGGACATCATTAATAACTAAGAGAAACAAAACCGGTCCGAGATGAGGACTCCTGAGGAAGCCGCAAAGGGACACAATTTAAATGATTTTACTTTGACTATCCGTTTTCTGTCGGCAAGAAAGCTGCACAACCGATTCAAGAAAGTCCGGTGAAGCCATAATTCATTAGCTTCCTTAACAGTATTGTGTACAGTACTTTATCAAAAGCTAATGGTAGGTAATAAGCAGAGACCTGATTTTTATGCAGTAAAAATTGCCAAAATATGCCATAATATATGCAGTTGAATGCCCTGAAATATGCAATAATATGCAGTATTAATACATTAAAATATGCAGTAAACCAGTTTTTTTTACTATCGTATTAACTTTAAACAGAAATATAGATAATTAAATGAAATAGATATTAAAACTCTTTAAAACTAAAAATAATTAAAATTCACAAGTATTTAGAGTTTACAGAATACAAGGTTATTTGAACCCTCGGGGTGCCGGTTTTTGAAAAAAAAAAAACATTTTAAGTAAATCGGGTTGGAATACAGGGTCGCTGGATTCGAACCCAGGACCTTTACCTTACAGTGATGAGCGCCGTGTCAACGCCTAAACCGTTGTGGCCACCGATGCCCCCTAGAGTTTATTTACATTTAACAAAAATATTTTCTCACTTACATAATTAAATTATCTAATTTATACTAATTGAGTATAATTAATGTTAATAAATAAGTACTTCTCTAAATTGTCTTCTGTGAAATTGTGCCTACTGTCTCTTAAAATTTGTGAGAATATTGAATATTGAAATAAAATAAGACGTAAGAAGGGGTTATATATATATATTTTATTTTTTATTTTTTTATTATTTTTTTTTTCAGTATTTCTAGTATCTTCTTTTCCCGTCGTTGTGGTCTGTTTCAGTTTTCTTTGAATTAAACTGATTTTTTGTCAGTTTGTTATTTTTTTTACAGATTTTTTTAATGTTCCCCACCCCGAAAACCAATATAATATTTTAAATATTTTTCACGATAAATGCGATTTTACGTATAAATCCTTCAAATATGCAATTTTATGCGATTTCAGCAAATAAGTAAAACTATTCTCTATAAAATTTAACCTACGCCTTCCTAGATATATGATTGGATAATTGATTTCTACGGTAGTATGGGGTGGCAAACAAAATATGCAACTGCATAAAAATCCGGTCTCCAGTAATAAGGATACTAGGAAGCGGGGTTTGTGTTCCCCAGGGATTGCAGCCTTCTGGCTTATTGCACCTTCCTAGTTCCTTAGTTCAGTGCAATGGACTCAACCCTTCTCCAGAAGTATCAAGACATTGACTGTCGCTGCTGCAATTTCAATCCCTAAGATTTTTCTGTATGTTAGATTGAATCTCCATTGAGCTGTTGCTTCGCATTCGAACATGATATGGGTGGTTTCCTCCTCATTACATTACATTAACCATCCCCAACCGCTTCATTCACACATCCACAATAAATCACATCCACACTACACCACAGTACTCGATATTCCTCGGGGTAATTGGGATATGCCCTTCCATTCAATAAATTACATTCACACTCAAGACTTATTTCGTACTACCTTTGAGTACTCTATAGTCCTCGGAGTAATTGGGGATAACCTCCTTCATTCACACTAATAAATCACATCCACACTACACCAGAGTACTCGATATTCCTCGGGGTAATTGGGATATGCCCTTCCATTCATGCTAATAAATTACATTCACACACCAGACTTCATTCGCACTACCCTTGAGTACACTAATCCTCGGAGTAATTGGCCAAGTGTATAATTTGGATGTATTTCTTTTGTCTTTCCATCTATTTTTTATTATATTAACATTCGTACTTTGTAAATTCGCTGAACCTAACAGGCACACTGTTGTATATCATTGCCATAGTGTGCTTATTAAGATAATATTGCAAAATATTTTTCTGAAAAATTTTCAAGGTTTCTCTGTGCTATCTGTGGGCTGATGAACCTGTAATTTGGTCTTTCTGCTTCTTCTTTTTTCTTCATTTCTGCTTATCATTGCTGGGTTGGTATCTCAGATATTGATCTTTAGATAGCAGTTCCAAATGATCAATAATGAACAAATATCACCCAAATTTTTATCTTAATAGATTACAAGCATGAAAGCAAATGAACAGAATAAAATCTGTTATCTAAATTGGCGTAAAGTAATTAAAAACCAATTTTTGCCTCTGTGATTCATGAAAAACATTAAGTAAAACATTCTTTTGTACTATTTTGACAAAAGAAAACTTAAATCTTTTTTACCACTTATACAAAACCATAATAACAATAAATAAACATAATTGATTACATTTATAAATAATAAATATTAGTAATTGGTCACATGGTCAAGTTTATTGCTTTAGAAAAATCAAGTTTGGAAAAATCTGATTCTTGATCGACCAAATGATTGGGCAAAGCTTATTGTTGTTAATGTTGATGCTGCTGGTTCTAATCCACTTTAAAGGATTAGTGTTTTCTGCCCAATCTCTGGCCTAATAAAAATTAATATTGCCTGGCATTGTTTTTTTGTTTTTTTAAGTGTGCAAAATGTTTCATCACGTAAGTTTTCGTTTTACTTACATGCTCTATTTATTTGTTAAACAATTTTCTTTAAATTTTTGTTTATATTAGGCTTTTAATATTGATTTTACATACAATACAGTTTATTGGGTAATAATTTTACCTTACAGTAGGCTACTACAATAAAAGACATTTTGGCACTATAAAGGCTGCAAAATAATTAAAACAATTTAAGTTTTATTGCCAAAACTAATATTAATTACAATAATTTCTAATTATGTTAGCAAAAAAAAACGATATTAAACTATTATTATTTTTACATGAAGCTGTGGTAAGATATAAAAATGTCTCTAGTACTTTTATGGCTATGGAAGTGAATCAAGGTGCTTTATTAAGTCCATTATTGTTCACAATTTGTTAATGACACCGAAGAAGTGTTAATAGGAGTGTATAAATATAAATGGTACAAAAATAAAGTTCTTGACTTTTCCTGGTGATATCGTCTGACAAAAGAACATACATACCAACCATTAAAGATGGTGAAATGTTCAAACACGTCTGAAAGAAAGAAAAAAATTTGAATAAACTTATCAGGATGGTTATAGACGATCAAGCTCACCTGGATAGAATCATGGTGGTAAATAGTGATTAATCAACATTAGAAAAAAATTAAACAGTATTATTATTTTTTTTTTAGTATAAACTCTACTTTCAAACATTGCAAAATGTTTTTCACATACACTTTCATCTGCAGATTCATCAAAAATGTTAAATATTAAAAAAAAATTTCACCGTTGTTTTTAAGTCAAAAACGAAATTTTTGTTTAGCCTTTGGCATTCGGTTTTTTAACTGATAACCCCTATTGTAGGGTTATTTAAAAAATAAAGTTAATGAAAATTTTACGCCCATAACAAACTACCACATTTTATGACATAAGCTTTCAGCTAAATCCTCAAATTATTCTTCAGTCAGCGTAGAATGAATTAAAAAAAAAAAAAGCTCAGAACACTGCATTGCAAATGATGACACTCGTCAAATTTTTTCTTTGCTGGGTTCAGGATTAAATCTATATGAAATGGACTAGCTTTTCAAACTGACGAGAGAACTTACTCTTCCTTAACTACCTTCCTTAGCTGAGACACACTGAATTCTGCACGTGAAATGCCAAAATGGTATGATACGTATGATCAACCCATTTTTTCCTTTCCATTGAAAGTCGTGGAAATATTTCACTTTAATACTTTAGTCTATCGTGTCTGATCTCTGATAACAGATTTCCTGGATAATTTTTCTTTTAAGAGTATAGAATTTTTCTCAGGGGCATGGTATCAAGGTCTATATTGTTCTATGTTATTCGGACACCTGGATATAGCTATTTACGCAGACGCCAGAGCCTCTTTGGCATACCATCACATTTTTTTGGCATTACCTATATGCTCTAACTCAGAAGGTTGAGTTTTCTTTGGCCTGGTATGGTATGGTAGAAAAGGATACTAGGAAGCGGGTTTGTGCATTCCCAGGCACTGCACCCTTCTGTCTTATTGTACCTTCCTAGTTCCTTAGTTCAGTCAATAGACTCAATCCTTCTTCTTAGAAGTATCAGGTCATTGACTGTCGCTGCTACAATTTCATTCCCTAAGTTTTTTCCGTACGTTAGGTTAAACCTCCATTGAGCTGTTGCTTCGCATTCGAAGTTGATATGGGTGGCTGTTTCCTCCTCCTTATTATATAATCTGCAGATGGGAACATCGTTGTACACGCCCAAATTGTATAGATGTTTTCTCAGATGCCAGTGACCGGTTAGGAGTCCTACCTCTCCTCTGAGTTTAGCCCTCTCCAATTGAAGCAGTGATTTTGCCAGACTTGGTGAGGATTGTTTCATCATGAGTTTACTGTGTCTAGCGCCGCTAGAGTTTATCCACTTCTCATTTTTTTTTTTTATCCATTCTGCGTTGGAGGATTCTATATTTGTTTTTGTTATCCCAAGTATAGGTTATGGTCTTGCAGATCCTTCTTTGGCCAGTCTGTCTGCTTTCTCGTCATCCAAAATTCCTCTGTGCCCTGGCACCCAAGATATCATCAGGTTGTTGTGTTTCTCCAGTTTTGAAGATTTTGGATACATTCACTGACTAATTTTGATGTGATTCTTTTATATGCTAATGCTATAATAGCTGTTTGGCTATCTTATGAGGATATTTTTGCCAGTGTAACCTCTTTTAAGATTTCCAGGGCACAAGCATTGATGGCATGTATTTCTGCTTGAAAGACCGAAGTGTACTTCCCTAATGAGTTTGATTGCTCATGTTTTGGGCCTGTACAGAAAACGCCTGATCTGGTTCCTTTGTTTGTTTTGGAGCCATCTGTATACCATATCTGATGATATCTGATGCTCTCCTGTGTTCTTCCTCTCCTTTGTAGTCCGTTGAGACTTTATAGGAAGTTGTGAAGAATGTTTCCGGGATCATATAATCAGTCCCCATTTCTAATAATCTGTGTCTGATTTTGTTGATTATGGTTGTATGCCCGAATTGTTAAGTTCCTTTCCAATTTAATTGTTTCTGGAACCTAAGTGAGCTTTTCCTAGCCTCTCCTTGTATGAATATTTCCAATGCAGGTAGGTTTAGAAGAGTTTCTAATGCATATATAAGGGTTGTTCTCATTGTCCCTGTGATACATAGGTTTGCTAGTCTTTGTATGCTGCCTAATGTTTGGGTAGCTACTTTTTGTTGAGCTTTGTTCCACCAGATTAGTGATCCATAGGTTATTTCTTTGGTCTGAGGCTTGAACATTTTCCAGGAGACACTTCGTGGAATGGAATATACTTATGACTCCCTAATTTACCTTAACTGTCTAATTTTTTTTTTTTTAAATTTCAAATAAATGTTGACATAGAAAAACTAAACAAAAATTTGGTTTTACAACAATTACAATTTTTTGCAGGATCTGTTTCTACGTGGTATTTTGGCCATAGTTAACATTTTTCTCAAACAATTTTCAAATGGTTTTCGCCATTTTTCAAAAAATCGAATGGACTCTTTGATTTGCAAATTGAAATTTAGGTTATTTTGGAAAAAAGTTCTTTCTTTTCTTCGTTTTTTTTGTCTGTTTTTTTTTTTCTTGCATTGTTTAATTTTTTCACTTTAAAAAAGGCCTAGAAATAACAACAATTAAAGTTAATTTGGAGGACTGCGGTACACAAGTGGTTAGCGAGTTAGAGTCTCAGCTTGTAGACATTGTGGTTGTGGGTTCAATTCCCACCATCATCCCTTGTCTTTTTTGAAATATTTTTTATCTGGCTAATACTGTGAAAATAAGGCCGTTTAAAAAATATAATTATTGCAATGTATTACAGTAAAGCTTATGCCAAAAACAAAAACTGTTTGAATTTTTTTTTTCTGGATTGTTTTTGAAAAAACCAGAGGTAACACGATTGAATTGACACCCTGTATGTATAATTTAAACAAAAGTCTGACAAGTCTAAATTGAGTTGTATTGGATTTATGTGGATTTATGTGTGAATATTTTAACATAGTATTTTCTTGCGATGTTATTTGCTTTTTTTTGTTACAGTTGCGGTGCAAGGTGTGTGAAGATGTGTTCTGTTGTGCAAATCACCGAAGGCATCATGAGCACAAAATTCACAAGAAGCCTGTTATACCTATATTAATAAACAGAAAATTCATACAAAATCCCGTCTTGCCCTTGAAATTCAATCAATATGAAGAGAAAAAGAGCGAAAGCATATCGACAGCCAGATTGTTGAAAAAAAGGAAAATATCGTTTTATAATGATACCCAAACAGCCAAATCGACAGAGGTGCAAGAGAAGACATTAAAGTTAAGGCCGTTCCTTCATCACAAGCAAGTGAACAAAGTCTCAGCATTGCAAACAGTTAAAGAAGAAGAGATGAATGCTGATCACATAGAAAAAACAACAAACACTAAAGAAGACGAGAAAATCAAACCGAATGAAAATATAGTTTTAAACAATCAAGTAGAAAGTAAAAGTGGTACACAATCTTCAGAGATTGTTGGGACTGACATGAAATCAGAAAGTAAGACAAAATTTATTCAAGAAATTAAATCACCACTAGTGGATACGGAATTTACAACAAGCACCCCGATTGTAGAGCAAACGGATCAGTCGAAGGACACATGCGAATCCTTAAAAGAGGAAATATTTGCAACTCCAGCTACTAATTTCAATTCGGAAGTAGCAGGCAGTTCAGACCGAAGCGTATATTTTAGCAGCACAAAATCATTTGTCTCGCCGTTACTGCCGATTGATGAATTGCCACCGGCCAAGAGGAAAATATCATTTCTGGAACAAATGGAATACGTGAATGCAGGTCATTCACGCCCATTCAATAGTCTAACATCTCAAATGAGCCAAGACAATCAGACAAGCACTCCAGGCCTATTTTCCACAATTGTTGATGTTGTTAAAAATACCATTGACAAAATTCAAGGTATGTTTAATTTTTATGTTAATATTTAATTTGTCCTTGATATGCTATATATGTAGTCTGTGGCATCCCCTGAATCTATTGCTTATTTTTAATTAATTTTTTATTGGCTTTATGACTTCTATATTAGGCAAAGGGATGTTTTTGTGGGGTAAGGGGAATGTGAAAAAAAAGACAGGGTGGCAGTGGGAATTGAACTCACGGCCGTGAGGTCTACGAGTAGAGTCTAACCCACTGACCACTCAGCTATCTCAGTTTTTAATTAATTTTAATTTTGAATTAATTCAAGACAATAATAATGATAATTAGTCATTATGACAAAAAATCATTTAAAAATTTACTCACAACTAAATTATAAGATGCCTTTTTGAGGTCTGCTGGGATGATCCTGCAGATCAACTCAGTCTGCCTAACCTCACTGGTTACCAGATGGATTTCGGTGATTGTGACAAATGCAGGATGATCGGACTGTTCATCAGCCCACAGACATCTGTGAAATATCTCACAGTCAAATGCGGTCAGTTTCCATAAATGGTATGGGAGTGTCTCAAGGAAGTGAACTAGGCCCACTATTGTTACTATATACCGACCCACCCACTTAACTCAGTACCCCTAATTAATTCATAACGAAATCTGATGATTCCAAATTCGTTGATTTATGTCAAACTGCTGAAATATTTGGTAGGACAAGCCTGTGGTTTGCTATTAACAAGCATGAATCATATAAAACCGTGTAGTCTTCGGCAGGACAACTCGTAGCATTGAAAATCCCTCTTCGATGTTTCTGGTGGGCAATATTATGGATAACTTAAATTCACTAATTTCGTGGTCCGCTTGACCAATATAATATATTACAATTAATTAAGGTTTTTAGTTGAGATAAAAAAGTCAATGGCACGAGCGGGATTCGAACCCACGATCTTCGGCTTGATACGCCACTGCTCTACCACTTGAGCTATCATGACCTCGATCCACTCAGACACCAACTTCCCATCTCAACCACACCTTTTGAATTTTCCCTCCTTTTTGCCATTTTTCAAATGTTGTGTAATCGGATTGGATTCTCCATTCATTAAATGGCAAAAAGGAGGGAAAATTCAAAAGGTGTGGTTGACATAGGAAGTTGGTGTCCGAGTGGATCAAGGTCACGATAGCTGAAGTGGTAGAGCAGCGGCGTATCAAGCCGAAGATCGTGGGTTCGAATCCCGCTCGTGCCATTGACTTTTTTTATCCCAACTAAAAACCTTAATTAATTGTAATTATGGATAACATGAGGTTTTTGCACATTTTAATTACAATAATGCATTATGGCGCTTTTATGTAAAATGTAAACTGTTTTTGACTAAAGAAAGTTTTTTTTAATGGCCTGACGTTTACAAGAAATCACATCGGATTGATCAAGATTGAGATAAAATATTTTTTCTAGTGAGTTTTATAAGACTTAGAAAGATCAAGAGTGAACTTCCATTGAGTTCCTGCTTTAAGTCATCCACCACGTCTACTCCTCCAGGTTTACGATAGGCTCCAAAAATCCTCTTTGTTTTCAAGACCGTATTATATACAATCCCAAGTCCTGTATACATAAACCAAACCTTGTTGCGTTTGAAACAATATGAAAAACTTCTGTCCAATCTTGAAAATAAATTTTATCCACTATGTGGATAAATCGTGGCATTTTTAAATCACATTTGCACCCAGAACTCAGCTTATTAATGGACAAATTTTCAATCGGAATAGACAATTTAACAAATCAAAACAAAAAAATCAGTGCAGAACGACACAAACACGATTATTCATATTAGTTTTTTGTTATTTTAGGCAGACAGCGTTATGCTTACAATGAAAGCTGGGACGATTCGAAAGAACCGACATGGGCTGTTCCTTGTTCGCCGAGTGGGCGAAAGAGAATAAGAACAACAACTGTAATAAATCCAAGAGCGAGAATACGTGGAAGACGTACATATCTTAAATCTTATCCTCCAAGAACTAATTCATAAAAGGGTTAACATTTGTTTTTATATTTTTTATTTAAATTTGTTTAATTTTTAATATATTATTTATAAATATTGGGATTTAGCAAAAATTATATTTTTTATAGCCAATGATTTTGTATTTAATAAATTGTTTGATATGTTAACCAATTCTGTTTATTTTTTTCCTTTATCCACAAGTTGGCAATAACATCAGATCAATAATTAAATGAAAATTATAAACTTACCAGAAAAATAGGTATAAAAATTGTTAGTTAAATTTTAATCTATCACTAGATGATTTTCCAGTGTTTTGGTGAATTTTCTTTTAAACCATTATAATTAAATTTAAAAAAAAATTAAAACTCATAAATTTTTATGCAATAGCATAATCTTTTTGCTAACACTTACGACTATGGTGATCAGATATTTATCCGAATCATTCCTCCATGGTAGGGTGGTTCAAATTTTATTCTGCATATTTTTGTATATTTAAAGAATATTGTATAAATTTGCTTATTTGAAATATTTTCGATGGCTTAGAAAAATAAAAATAAACACGGCAACTAAGAACAAAAGGAAAAAGACAAGAATCTAGAATTTGATTTGGATTTAACTTGTCATGAACAAAACTTAAACCAACACAATAAAATTCTCTTGAAAATAATCAGTATATTATTTTTTTGCTTATCCTAAAAAACACTTTTTCTGAGATGGTGGGGTTGAGGAAATAGGGGCTTCATTTGACAAAAATAGACAGTCTCATTTTCATCCTAGTAAACCTTAAAAAAAGCCAAAAATGGGAACTTCAACTTCTAAAACAGCAGGCTAGATTTTTACTTTTAATGCAAAACAGAAATTAAGTAAATCCCATGCAATGCAGTTATTATATTACGAAAGATTATAAGGTAGATAGATTTGATAAAAATTCCAGATCAAAAATTAGGGAAAATCAATTAAATCTTAATGGTAACAGTATCATACAATATATCAAGTAAATTTTAAAAACACAAGTACGCTCCCATCACCTCTTATGACCGATCTCAATTTGCCCAAAAAAGTATTCACTTTTATATTTCCGCAAGTGCGTAATCTCTTTTCAATAGACCAGTTTTTCTATTTCCCACAAAAGTCAGTAGTATTGATTATTTATTAAATAATATTGTAGACAAAATAAGAGGTTTATGCATACGCTATGCTTTTCTGAATTTGAAATAAATTACTATTTCATAAAGTTCATTCTGAGACACTGTAAACCCACTGGGTACTGGAAACAAAAAAATTTGGATACTGCTGTACTAGACCAAAAATGTCTAGGTTAAAAAAGTTAATATGTATATTAATCAAGCGATGTCTATCATTCATCCGTTGTATTTTAATATATATAAATTTAATTCAATTTTAGTGCAAATACAGTAATACCTTGACATTCATGGGTGTTTGGTTCCAGAAAACTGCCGTGAATGTTAAATCCACGAATGTTGAACCTATTTTCCTGGGATATAAGCAGGGGTTACATTCTACGACGCCAAAAATACAATTCAGAACTAAACAAATAATTCATTCAAAATAAACGGAATAAAAGATGTGTGTTTGAACTTGTTTTTATTTTTTGATGTGCAAGAAAAGAAATAACTATTAATTGTTTCGCCGAATAATTTATTTCTTTAAAAATTTCCACATAAGGATTTGAAGCAGTCACAACATCCCCTTTAAACTGAAAACTTCGATTTGAAGATGTGTCGAAACCCATTGCGTTTTTAATAAGTTGGTCCCTCAAGGTTAAAATTTCCCAGTCGTTTTGAAGAAAAGCTTTTGCCTGCATAAAAAATGTAACATGTCCAAAAATTGTATTCTTTCACCAAGGGTCAGGAAGGAGGCATTTTGCGACAACTTCCACACAAAACTGAGAAGGAACAGTACGTTGAAAGTAGGCAAAAGTTTTCTAAGAATCAATTAAAGCCTCCAATCCATTTTTTTAAATCAAGTAGTAGTGTTGTAACTATGTCCTACACTTAGTTCTAGTTGCCTTGTACGGCCTATCAGGGTTTTATATCATGTTTGCCATGCTTTGAATGATTTTTTGTTTGTTTTTCTGATCCACCTATTCTTGATCGAAAGATTTTGTCTGTGGTCACCCTCAGTATTAGTGTTTGCAAGTTAGTGTAAGTTCATGGACTCCTGAGTATTTTTCTTTCAGCTGTCCGCTCATAAGGGACTTTTCACTGAAAAATCTATATAGTGCTCTTGTATTAGGACTTTTCCTAGAGTAAAGTAAATGGAATAATGTCTGGGGAAAAACAATCCAGTCACGAGGGATATAAATACAGAAACGGAAATTTGATTTTTGACACATTAAAAAACCAATGTTTAAACTATTTTTTTAATTATAAAAAAGCACTTTACAACTTATTTCTTCGCTTTTTTATCTTTTTTGTCTTTCGCAACTTTAGCAACGTCATCAGGATTGTCACTTGCTTCCTTGAGGCGTTTGGCCCTTACTCCGACAAGACGTTCATCTGCCCTAGCCTAAAATCGAAAAATTAATGTATGTATATTATAAATATATATAACTCAATATGTTTATCATAAAAGTGTACATCATACATCAAATATTGAGTAGAGTAATAGTAATTATCATATTAAAATTTACAAAAATATTTTAAGATTTTCCAGCAAGTATGGTAATATTAGTTTACAAAATTAACAAATAATTAATGGAAAAACAAACAATTAATTACCTTTCTGAGTGCTACATAAGCAGAGAATTTCTTGTCAGCTTCTGTGATAGTCCTTGATTTGACTTTCAATGAAGGCTTGGCAAGAGGTAGCACTGGGGTAGCCACTTGCGCAGCTAACTTGCGTTCTTCCTCCTGAAGTATGAATAGTTTATTTAGAGGAAAAAATAAAATAAACAAATTTAACAGTAAATTGTGATACTTACAGAAGCTTCGCCCTTCTTCAATTTCTTGCTACGTTTCATGGGGAACAGGATTAATTTCGCCTTGTACTCCTTCAAACGCTGGACGTTCAATTGCAAAGACTCGACGGATTTGTTCCTCCTTCTCGGGTCAACAGCGATGCCGACCGACCTGGCGAATCCAGGTGTAAGTTTAGCCCTCTGAAGAAAAGAAACAGTTGATTAACATTGGCGTTATTGACGATTTGATACGGAATCACACGACTTACAGAAATTTCCTCTAAAGTAAAACCCCTACCAAGACGCAATTTTGTGTGGTAGCGGACTGTCGGGCATCTCACTGCTGGTCTCAGTGGTGCAGCGGGTCTCGGGTTGACGAGAGCGGCTTTCTTAATCCTGTGCTGCCTCCTTCTGTATTTCCGAGCACTTTGTTTAAACCAAGTACGAATGAACCTCTGCCAATCCTTATGGAAATGGCCATTCGGAATCATATTATTCCCCTTCATCTTGGCTGTAAATTAAAATAGAAAATAAATTAAATTTAAATAAGTTTAGTAAAAACTGTCATTTCATCTACAATGATTTTATTTCAATAGTTTAATTAGGAATGTTCCTTTTTTTTAGTTTACGGACAAATTATTTGAAAATTTAAGACATGCAAGTTTATTGCAATATTAACAAATATTCCTTGGTTTTATTTTCCATCGTTGTTTCGTATCAATCTGGTCTGCCAATCCAAGTTACTTTGAATTATACGACTGGTTGTGCCATAATCGCTGGGATCAAATAACAAAAGGACAAGTAGACCAGGATCATCACCAGTACAAGAGATCCCACAGTAATGGGGATATTTAGAGATTTAATAAGTTTAATCTGATATATATTGGTTAAATGTCCAAGGCACCTAGTGAAAAAAGGCTTTCATAACCTTGGAATAGAGGTTTGTATATTTTGTATATTGCTTTTCATTTTAGCATTATTTTCTTGCAACTCTGCCAAAGGTAGCACTCAAAACTAAAGCTCAACTCTTGAAAGTTTTATTGAAATATATTGTAAACGATATAAAAGTAAACAAAAAAGATATTTTTAGTACAAAATTTAACATAGGGAAATACAAAAGCTTCTAAAAATTAAATTAATTAAATATTCAAAACGGAAGAATGCGAAGCTGACATTGTTTACTGGCAGATTTTCAACATTTAATTTAATATTAATCCATTCGTGTTTAGTGGTCTAATTGGCCAAATTACTTATTTCAATTAATTATTCTCTTTATGTATTTTCATCTTAACCAAGACCTTACATAAAAAGAATAATTAACTGAAGTAATTTGGTCAATTAGACCACTAAATTATTAATATTTATTAAGTAAAAAGTATCACTTCAATAACAACTCCCCATGGCCACTTTATAAGTCGCTGAGAATTGAATCCTGATTACACGACATTTGAGAAATGGCAAAAAGAGGGAAAAGTCGAAAGGTGTAGGTTGAGATGGGAAGTTGGTGTACGAGTGGATCGAAGTCACGATAGCTCAAGTGGTTAGAGCAGCGGCGCGACATATTAAGACAAAGGTCGTGGGTTTGAATCCTGCTATTGACAGTATCTTTTTCATCTCAACCAAGACTTTACATAAAAAAAAGAAAATTAATTGACATTTAATTTAATTTTTGAAGCTTTGGAGCTCACTTCAATTTTGTACCAAGAGTCTGTTTACTTTGTAGTCTTTTATTTTTTTAAATGTTTGTAACCAAAAAATCAGATTTTTAGCAATGAAATACTAATTTTTCATTATTCTTAGCTCACATCTGATAAATTACAGACAGGCAAAAAATTCCACTCAATTATTTTTTTCATTTTCTCGATAAAAGAAAATTCTGCCCTTAATTTGTCCCATTGTTTTTATCAATAAGTATTTGTTTAAGCTGTTATAAATTGAGAATATCAATTAGAGGTGAACACACTTAATCCTTAATCCAAAACAAGGATAAAGGATTTTTCTGTTTACTTTTTTTTATACGGAATTTAAAATGTTTATTCAGTCTCATTTGAGTTTTGAAGCAACACTGTTAGTTTTCATCTTTGTTTTCATAATTTTAATTTTTAAACTTTAAAATGCCACCTAGTGCTGAGAATGTTGCGCGTCGTGTGGCACTTATTGATGATGGACGTTCCATCAGATATGCGGCTATTGCCATAGGAGTTCCCTATGAAACACTGCAAGACACCATTAGACGTTTTCGAAAAACTGGGTCCTACCATAGAAGGCTCAGTTCTGGACGCCCCAGGGTACCAAAGGATGACTGTTTTTTGACTGTGGGAATTTTTGAAACCGGCACCTTACTGTCGTTCAAACGATTCATCAGCTCCAGGAAGTTCGAGGTGTCCAAATTTCTGCTTGAACTGCTCAAAGAAGATTAAATTCATATGGACTGATGGCATTTCGCCCCTTAAGAAGACCAGAACACACGGAGTTGCTCGAGAACACAGCCATTGCTCTTTGGACAATTGGTCTGCTGTGCTTTTTACAGATGAGTTTAGATTTGCTCTACGATCTCCAGATAGGCGTGAAAGAATTGAGAAGACAAAATGAAAGGTTCGAAGCCTGTAATTTTTCCCAGAGCCAAATTTTTCAATGTGGCTCAGTGATAATGTGGGCGGGAATCTCAATGGAGTCTAACAGAGTTGGTTGTTGTTCACTTAGGGTTTTTGATGGCCACTTTCTAGGTGGATGAAATTTTGGAACATCATGCACTCCTTATCCTCCATGAAATCACGACAATCCTATTCTAATGCACGATAATGCCCATCCACATGTCGCTCGCGTAGTACAAACAAACCATCAGGCTTGATCCCCATCGAACATTTACGGGACAACCTCAAAATATGAATAAGAGCACGTCCTTCACTTCCTGATACACTCCACTATCTCGAAAGGACTCTTCGTGAAGAATGGGAAAGAGACATTTCCAGGCTGGTAGAAAGTATGCCGAGCCGTCATTGAGGTGTAATTTAGACAAAAGGAGGAAATACACGATATTGAAACGTTAATTAAAGATTTAAAACAAAATTAAAATAAATTTTATCTGTCTTTTTCTAATTTTCCTTATCAATTTACATTACTTTTATTCTTTTTAAGACAAAGACTCCATTACAAAACGTTAAAAAACGAGAAACTTTGATTAATATACAAAAATATATGCAAATCAAGTTATATTTGAAGTGGACGGAATTTTTTGCCTGTCAGTTATATACATGCGCTTAATGCTCACTAGACTAGTAAAGGCAAGTTATCTGTAAGTCATATTTATCAGTATTTACAGAACCAAGAAAATCTCATTCAAAACTTTAGACTAGAGCTTTAGAAAATCGTGAAAGTTTATCTCCTTACTATTTTCTATTTTGTTCGCTTATGGCTACAAATTGGGCACAAATCATAGAGCGAGAAAAACAGAGAATACTGAAGAATACAGTAAAAACCCTAATAGAATACAATAGGGAGATTAAAAAGGCAAAACAATAATCGTGGAGGAAATATTGCAAAGTTGAAGCAAGTAGACACAGAATTTTCTACGACTGGAAAAATAAGTAAGTTTCAATGAACCAGGCACATGGCACGTCGTAAACAGTACTAATTTCAAGAATATACTGTTGAACAATTCAAGTCTATGAAGATTGAAGAAAATAAAAGTTGAAAAGTTTTTATTTTTATGGATAAGAATCGCTTTGAAGCCTTAAATACTAAGGTAAATTATATTTCATTTAGTTTTGTTTTTTTCTAGATAATTAAGTTCATACAAATGTTATTTTTAAGCATATATGGGTCTATATCTAGTGAGGAAAACGTTTCATATCACCCATAAAAATGAAATTAAAGAAAACAGGATTTGAGAGGATGTTGAGAAAATGTCGGGTCGCTTTGATATTTCTCCAGCCGACTTTGATTTATTTAAACAATTAATTAAATAAATTAAACAAGACTGGCCCCAGAAGTGTAATAGGAGTAGAATAATAAATTAAAGTAGTATAATAAACACGGGGGTGGCGATTGTTGAAAGGAAAAGGTTAGGGAGGCCGACTTTCCGCCAGATGGGAAAATTCCGTTCCGTCGTCGGAAAATTTTCAGAGCCGATGAAAACAAATAGATACGAGGGAAATTTAATAGACAAATGGGTTGAACTCAAATAGATCGGTCTGATAAATTCGGATGAAAACTCACTTGTTTGTCTGTCTCACGGCGGTCACGTTGTCAAATTGTACCTACAAAGACGTCGACTAGGAACAAGACACTGCTGTACAATGGACGAGAACGAGGCGAAACTCGCAGGTAGCAGCTCCGGCAACGGACGACACACGACGCCCTCTACAATCAAAACGGCCAACCTTCATAGAGGGGTAGCCATCTTCTCTGACAGTCAGGTACCACTAAAGGCAAAATCTGTCTGGAACTGCATGGAGGCCCTGATGGAAACCAGTGACAAATGACCTGACCCTGGCATTGGTCCCTGGGCACACGGGGCATAGAGGCAACGAAAAGGTTGACATGTTGGCCAAAGAAGGGGCCGCCAACATGGATTCTCTGGATTCTAAACCTTGTTATGATGTGGTATGGTAATACGGATACTAGGAAACGGGGTTTGTGCTCCTCAGGCGATGCAGCCTTCTGGCTTATTGTACCTTTCTAGTTCCTTAGTTCAGTGCAATAGACTCAATCCTTCTCCTGAAGTATCAGGTATGTATTTGACTGCCGCTGCTACAATTTCATTCCCTAAGTTTTTTCGTATGTTAGGTTAAATCTCCATTGAGCTGTTGCTTCGCATTCGAAGTTGATATGGGTGGCTGTTTCCTCCTCCTCATTACATAATCAGATGCGATCATCGTTGTACATCCCCTTGTGATGTAGATGTTTTCTCAGATGCCAGTGACCGGTCAGTAGTCCTACCACTCCTCATAGTTTAGCCCTCTCCAATTACAGCAGTGATTTTGCCAGTCTTGGTGAGGGCTGTTGAATTTAACACAGACTGCTCAAAAAACTATAAAACAATTTTTTCAATACACTTTTTTCCAAAATTAAAGATCTCACACCAGTAACAAATAAATCTGTCGTAATTTATAAAATTAATTGTTTAAACTGTCCGGCAATTTACATCGGAATTATATCCCAATATCTGGACAAGGGGGTAAAGCGACATATCTATGATTGCAAAAAACCCAAACAAAATCCTACAGCATTGGCAACCCACCATTTTTAACACCAACACAATTTCGACATCAACAATCCAAAAATGCCGTGACCGCAACGGTTTAGGCGTTGACATGGCACTCATCACTGTAAGGTAAAGGAGCGGCCCTGCATTCGAACCCGACAAACTTACAAATGGGCTTTTTTTCAAAAACACCGGCAAAAAAAAAAAATATTACACACAGAAACAAACATTAACCAATTAATTAATATTTATGAAAGGTATTGGTTGAGATAAAAAAGTCAGTGTCACGAGCGGGATTCGAAGTAACGATAGCTCAAGTGGTAGAGTAGCGGCGTATTTAGCCGAAGGTCGTGGGTTCGAATCCCGCTCGTGACACTGCCTTTTTTTTTCATCTAATACATTTCATAAATGTTAATTAATTGACAAATGTTAATTGATCAATCGAACCACGAACTGTAATGGACAAACATTAACGTAACTTTTTACAAATGGTTTACATCAACAGGGATAAACACAGGATCAGTTACATAACAGACAAATGTAAACTCAGTCTCAGCTAATATCATTAATAAAATTCAATATCGATAACATAGACATACATCATCATATAATATAACATATAATCCCGGGGATCCCGGGTGTCGGGGTTGTATTTCCAACTTTCCTGGCTATTCCCCTCCTTCCGTGCCCAGTATTTCCTAGGTTGCTTTCTTTTCCAGTCCATCCACACTCGTCGTCCTCCTTATATCATCCAATCCCTCCAATTCAACTCCTCACATCACACCCGTAAAACCCGCTCATCCCCAATCGACCTTATCCTTCCGCAACATACAACCCATACCTTCGAAAGATCCTTTCTGATCCGAGCCCCTAAACTCTGGAACTCCCTTCCCCTATCTATTCGTCACGCTGCCTCCTTCTCCTCATTTAAATCCCATCTTTATAATCACCTCCTCTCCCTCCAAGCAGAGACCTCACGATAACATTTATTATTTTTGTCTTTGTTTAATATACCTCGTAATTTTCTCTTCTGGCCCGCCTTACTGGCATACATTGTGCCACGATTTCTATCTATCTTTTTTTTCCTTTTTTTTTTTTTAATTATGTGACTTCATAGAAGGTTATTATATTTTGTCTCATGTAAATTATTCTAAGGGGACACCAGTCCCAGAATAAAGTTATTTTTCTTCTTCTTCTTCTTCTTCATATAAAACAATCATCACATTCCACACATCAAACATTTCTATATAGTCTAATGCTTGAACAATTTGGTTTTCCTTTCGCCAATTATCCTCGTCTATATAATCCTGAAAGAATATTCACCTCCTTATTTCCTTTCACCTCAAAGAAGCCGAGTTCTCATATAAAAAAAGTCTTTCTACTCCCGACTTCCTTCCCCACCCCTTCAAAATCCAACGTATATAAACATAAAACATCAACAGCAATCAATAATGACTCACACGACACACAATAATGACACATCTACACAGAAAACAAACACTTTGAGTGTGTGCAAATACTTTGATTGAGATTAAAATTTCTAGCATTGTATAAATTCACTTTTTTCACATCCTACATGTATTTGTAAAATTTAAACAATGGTTATAAATCCCAGGCCCTGAAGATGATCTCAATAAAGATCGAAACGTTGGCACGATAAAGAAAATGTTTTCTAATACCTACGTTACACCAGACCGCATCTCACGATCTTCAAATAATCATCAATGGTCATTAAACACAACACATTAATACATATTGCTCAAAGTTGACTAAATTAACACAGACCGAGCTATGTGCCATAAAACCGTATTGACAAGGGGATGTAATGCGATTTAAATTTACTTTTAGATTGTTTGTAACAATATTAAGGAAGATTGAAAAATCTGAGCAGAACACAATGGGCCCACTCTGGCCACGTGGCTGTAAAAGAAGTCTGCCAAGTACCGAAACATGGTTTGCACTTTAAATAGCTAAGGCAGTTTTAAAAAGAATGACTGCCTGAAAAAAGTTGCAGCTTTTCTGGATGACTGTTAAGTTGTTTCCACCTGGCACCGTATATCGCGCTATATCCAATATCTCTTGAATCTGTTGAATTTTGAAACAGTGTGGAAACCTTTGAGATTTTTGAATAATCAAAAGTTCCAAACAAGGCCCGATAAAAAGCTCCTTCGGCAATTGATGCCGGCTCGGATGTCTTCATTAGGTTGAAAACGGGCTTGAAACAATGTCTTCGGTCAAGTCTCTCGCACTTTTCAGATCGTTATCGACCGGGCAGTCGAACAAGGCATTCTTCGATGTTTCTCGCAGACTGTCTTCGTACTTGGCCTTCGTAAGTGTCGCTTTGACAATATTGAAATGCGTTCGTGTTTGGACACAGTAAGTTGTTTTCAACGACCGGATTTCGAGCTTTTAGCTCATCATCAGGTTGAGGGAATTCTACAACCACGTCTCTCGATAGTTGGATGAGATGTCTGATAGTTGGATCAGAGTGTCTGAACTGGTCCATCCTATGCTTTAAATTCAAGCACTACTCTATTCCAATATAACATTTGCCACGTCTTTTGAACTGCTGGGTGCTTCTCGATCCGACAAAAATTCCAAATACTAGGTTCTGCTTGGGCGAAGAATGCCAGCGGCGGTCTGTCCATTGAACCGTTGAATGCTACAAGGTTGTTTAACTGCCATTATTGGCACCAATTTTAAACAGTTGGAACAGACAGTCTAAGGTGTACTGCTGGCAACAATTGAATTGTACTGTCAGCAGCGTAACACTGACTGCAGTGTATGACATCATTTCAAACAGAACATGTGGCACATCTGAAACAATAGCACTGTTGGTTAGGAGGAAATGTACTGCTGGCTGCTAGATGTGAATGAATGAATGAAAAAGTACTTTATTAGATAAACAAAAGAGAGTGAAAAAAATTGTACATAACCAAAAAGCACATAACGGCAATGGTTATCAACCATCTGCCGGAGTCGGACTATAAATTTTTAATAAACAAGGAACACATTTCTTCTTAAGGAATAAACAAAAGAGAGAGAGAAAAAAAAACTATATAAGTAAACTAGAATAACAACATATCTATTTATGCACATATAAATAACCAGGGTGTCTCTGATATATACAGTAAACATTTAATAATTGAAATAAAAAACAAGCATTTTCCTGTAGTTCCAGGCTTCCATCGCAAACTTTACCAGATTTAAAGACTCGGGGTTATTTAATAAAGATATTAGGTGCTCTCTTGTCAACATGGGCAAGCCGATATACCATGCTCAGAATTCCGCTAAAACTGGGCATTCTGCTAGAAAATGAAAACTATCTTCTCGACCCTGCCTGTTGCAGAGAGAGCACCTATCGGAACTATTGACTCTTGTGGGGTTATAATTAACGTACAGTAACTCGCACCTAATTTTGAAAAACCAGCGAGCTAGCGGAATGGACGGAATTTTAGAATTTTGCGCTATGTTCAAGAAAGGTTGACTGATATTAAGGTCCTTATACAGCAAAAACCTAGAAGAATTTTGAGCATGAAGGAGACATTTCACTGTGTGAGAAGTGTGGATATTGTTAATTAATTTTGAGTGTAAAAGTGTTCACTCTTTGAAATTGTCCAGGGAAAAATTGTCATTCAGCTGAAATTGTTGAGCCAAGTTATTCCAGGAAGAGAACCATGATATTTTGGACCTTATGATTTCCAACGCTGTATTCTTAGGAAGGCGGTAGTTAGGAAGGTTTAGGACCCTGCAGATATAGGAAGTATGTAAATGTAATGTAAATTGAAATAAAAGTTCAGCTGAGGTCTCGAGGTAGATCATGTAGTTAGGCGTGAAGGAAGGGAGGGGATAAATGTGACACTAGATGTGACAATACTTTCTGATTGCAGAGTTCGAACTATTTCAATGGACATATGTCTTTATATTCGATAAAAATTCCAAGTACTAGGTACTGTTAGGCCGAAGAATGCCAGCGGCCGTCTGTTCTTGAATCGTACAACGTTATCAAACTGCCATTAGTCACAATAATTTTAAACATTTGGAAGAGACAGTCTAAGGTGTACTGCTGTCAATAATTGAATTGTATTATCAGCAGTGTAACACTGACTTGAGTACATGGCATCATTTCAAACAACATGTGGCACATCCAAAACGATAACACTGTTGGTTAGGTTAGTACAAAATGTGCTGCTGGCTGTGGGATGTGACAATACTTTCAGATTGCAGAGTTCGAACTGTTTCAATGGACAAATGACCTGTAGATGTAGATGTTATAGTTGGGGTGTAATATATTGGGTTGTCCGGAAAATAATGCAGGATTTTGGGTNTGCCTCCTTGCAGAATCTACATGTGCCATCTTGGATTGTTCCAATTTTCTTACGCTACCCCTGTTTCAATGGTTGAATCAATTCTATGGTCACATTGTACATCCCAAAGCACTTCCTCCTGCAGGCAAGTGTAGTACCGCAGTTTGTTAGTAAGTGTGGACATACGACTTTATATTCGATAAAAATTGTAAATACTAGTTTCTGTTATGGCAAGAATGCCAGGTACTGTCTGTCCGTTGAATCCTACAAGGTTATCAAACTGCCATTACTGACAATAATTTTAAACAGTTGGAACAGACAGTCTAAGGTGTACTGCTGGCAACAATTGAATTGTATTGTCAGCAGCGCAACACTGACTGCAGTGTATGACATCATTTCAAACAGAACATGTGGCACATCTGAAACTATAGCACTGTTGGTTAGGAAGTAATGTACTGCTGTCAACAATTGAATTGTATTGTTGGCAGCATGTAACACATCCACAACGATGTGTTAGGATAGTATGAAATGAACTGCTGGCTGCTAGATGTGTCAATCCTTTCAGATCACAGAGTACGAACTGTGTCTATGACCATCTGACTTTTATATTCAACAAAAATTTCAAACACTAGGTTCTGTTAGGCCAAAGAATGCCAGCGGCTGTCTATCTGTTGAATCTTATAAGAGTTTCAAATTGCCATCATCGGGAATAATTTTAACACTCAGGTAGTGCCTCCTTTGCATATTCATTTTGACAGCCTCGTAACTTGTTGTGCTGTTATTTGCCTTACAGTGTAAGGGGTTTTTTCTATGCAAACTTTTTAACCTGCTTGCCTTTTTTCCTAATTACACTAAAAAATTTCTCAATTTCTTGTAGAGCTGACTTCTCAACTTCCATTCTACTGTCAAAAGACCAATCTGGCACAGACTTTACAGGACCCTAGTTCCTTTATTTGAACAGTTCCCGTAGATCATTTCATCCAGTTCTGCCATTTTTTTACAGTCAGGGATAAATCACCTTCAAGCTGGCCACAAATTGAATAAGTCTTCTGTTTTGCTCGTCCGAGGATGGTGATCATGTTCTCATATTTCGCTAACTTTGAAGATTTTCCACTGATTTTGGGGACATCTGTTACTCTGACACTGTGGGACGGTGAACAAGTCTTAACCAGATGACCACCGGCTCTTCCCAATCTTGACATTCCAGTCCATGTACTCTAAAAGTCGGGACTGTGGTGGCCGAGTGGTTGCTGACATTTGACTCGTATTTGCCATGCTAGTGGTTCTGGGTTCAAATCCCAGCATAGCCCATGGTTTTTTAATTGAGAATAATATGAAAGAAGTATTGTAAGTTTGACCCCTCGTCTGTGACATCTAATTGTTAGATGTCCAATAAGTTGGACCTTAAGCCCTCCGTAAGACAGGAATTTACCTTGTTTTACTTTACTTACTACTCTAAAAGCAGCTTCCTACAAACCAAAGTCTCGTTTATATTTGATATACACTTGTATCTATACGCAATTTATTTTTGTGAGTTTGAGAAAGAGCCATAATTTTTCATTTTAGTGTAGTTGAACTGCATAAATGGTATAATTTGTTTAATTTTATTTATGCTTAGAAGTAAAGTCTTCTTGAATCTTTACGACTTATGTCCGATGAATTTGTGAATAATGCTTAAAACTCTAAAATATAGCTACATTAAAGTATAGCTTTAAAGGGAAAATTGCACTATCCTCATCCATTATATATTGGTTTATTTATTTCAAATGTTGAATAATTTAACAACCGTTTTTGTTTCCAGGATCCAGAGTTGACGACGCAGAAGAAATGTGAGATTGAACAGAAATGGGGGGCTTTTGTCAATGAACAGAAATTTGACAAACACAGCACAAAGCCAAAGTTTTATGTGCTGTCCATGTTTCCGTATCCGTCCGGAAACTTGCATATGGGGCATGTGAGGGTGTATACTATAAGCGATGCAGCTGCGCGTTATTACAGGATGAGAGGAAAAAATGTACGTACATACGATTTTTTAAAATTTGTTTTCAATTCATTGTGCTTCAAGGTCTTGCACCCTATCGGGTTTGATTCGTTCGGTTTACCTGCGGAAAATGCTGCTAGAGACAATAAAGTAACTCCCGAACAATGGACTGAAAAAAATATAAACACAATGAGGAAACAGTTAAAACAGCTCGGTTGTAACTTCGATTGGAACAGAGAAATCGTAACTTCAAAACCTGACTATTATAAATTTACTCAACAATTATTTTTGCTTTTGCACAAGCATGGTCTTGCATATAGGAAGAAGGTTGGTCGGCATTTTATGTTTGCTTACCTATTTTATTTATTTATTTTTTAATTGGCAAGGCTATTGTCAACTGGGATCCTGTCGACTGCACAGTATTAGCAGATGAGCAGGTAGACAGTAAAGGGAGATCTTGGAGGTCAGGGGCAATTGTTGAAAAAAAGATGCTCAAACAATGGTTCATTCGGACAACTAATTTTGCTGAGTGAGTGTATTAAGCAAATAAAATCAATTATAAAAAAAAAACTTTTATATTTATTTTTCTAGGGATCTTTATGAAGGATTAAATGACCCAAATTTAAAAGACTGGAGAGATATAATTAACCTTCAAAAACATTGGATAGGCGAATGCACTGGTGCTGATTTTTATTTTTATATAGATGATTCTAAAGGCAATAGGATACCCGTGACCGTCTGGGTAGAGAAACCAGAACACATGTCAAAAGCAGCTTTTCTTTCTGTTTCTTCCAAAAGCGTACTCGGTTCTGAAATTTTGAAAAATTACCAAAACGAAAAGCTGTACCTGAGCAGTCATTTAAGTAACAAGAAACTGCCTATTTTTGTCACGGATGAGCTACCATTTCCAGAAGGTTGTGATCTCAAACTCGGAATCCCGAGTAAAAACGATCTGGACAAGGAATTCGCTATTAGAGAAAACGTAGAATTCGACGATGAATCTGAGCTTGATAATTATGAAGAGAGATTTAAAATTTGTAACCTAGCCATTAAATGTAATTTAGGAGGATACCCTAAAAGTTCTAAATTACACGACTGGCTGATTTCAAGGCAGAGGTATTGGGGGACGCCTATTCCAATAATACATTGCGAAAAATGTGGCGAAGTACCTGTCGAAATGGAAAACTTGCCTGTGCTCTTGGTGCCAAGGAAAGAGAACGGCACTCCACAGCCTGTAGATTGCCCTAAGTAACATTAAAAAACAAACATTAAATATAAAAAACTATGATGTGAAATTATCTTATCTGTAGATGTGGTGGACAAAGTAATTATGAAACGGACACAATGGATACATTTTTTGACTCATCATGGTACTTTTTAAGATTCATTGACCCTAAAAATCCCTTTGACTTATTTTCTACTGATAAAGCTGCAAAGTTGATGCCTGTTGATCTTTACATTGGAGGAAAAGAACATGGTAAGCTGTTATTATCATTAAAAAANAAAATGGCAAAAAGGAGGGAAAATTCAAAAGGTGGGGTTGAGATGGGAAGTTGGTGTCCGAGTGGATCGAGGTCATGATAGCTCAAGTGGTAGAGCAGCGGCGTATCAAGCAGAAGATCGTGGGTTCGAATCCCGCTTGTGCCATTGACTTTTTTATCTCAACTAAAAACCTTAATTAATTGTAATATATTTCTAATTGTTGTTAAAGAACTCTGAACTGTACAGTATTTGTAAACTGGGCAGTTTCCTTGACTTTTTAAAAAGATTTAATCATGAATCTGGGGACCGCAGTAGCCTGTCAGACTCTCGGTGTGTAAAAACTATGGTCATGGTCTCGATTTCCATCGATGCCCCTGGAATTTTTGACTCATTTCCCTCCCATCAAAAATATGATGTATGTACTATATGCAATCTGTCAAATATGTAAAGTGTGATTCCATTAAAAAAAGAAGTTAAGAAATTTTAGATGGGTTGCTCAGGAAACTCTGATGGTACTGCATAGCTATGAGGTGTCTTTAGGTAGCACTAGATGCTTTTTCAACCCTTTGTTTTTTTTTGAGGGGGAGTTAAAGTATGGCCTCTTCTAACCTTCTCTCCACTGCGACCTATATAGGTCCTAGTGTGGAACTCATGTGATCATGTCCGTATCGCAGAAAGTGTGCTTTACCACAAAACTAAGCACTTACTTCAGCACCTCTTTGTGCATTTCATTTAGTGTAAGAATCGCCTTAACGAAGTGGGTGTAAAATAGAAATGTGCCGATGCTTCTGATTTCTACTGACAGAGTCGATGTGTAAGTAAAATCATTCCTGTCATACAGGAGGGCATAATGTCCAACTACCTGTTGGGTGTCGTAGACGATGAATCAAACCACTTTAAAATACATTTTTGATACCATTATCAATTAAAAAGCCAACCTAACTATTCGGCCATCTCAGGCCCTTATGAAAATATGCCGATTGTTTTTTGATTTTTCTCCTGACAGAGTCAATGTGTTTCTGTTTGCCCACCTTTTTTTAGGTCGTAGTTAAAATGGCACAGTGAATTCTTAACTGAATAGCTTTGTCTTCTTTTTTGAGAAATTTATAAATAGAAAAAGCTCTTAGCTTGCTGCAAACCTGGTGCTTTTGTCCAGTGCTTGAGGCTTCTTTTTAAAATCATTTTTTCAGCTCCAACTTTAGCACACTGTCAGATGCGCCTAGTTGTGCTTCTCATGGCTGAGAGGGCTAGTCTTTGGCTAGTTGGTCAGCCTGTTCATTTCTTTCTATAAGTTCGTGTCCTGGAACTCCTTGGTTGTGTTTTCCTAGGGCTATTTGGCACTCCCAGAATTGTATGGAGCAAAGCTGTAATTTAGTTCCTTTATAGTTCTTTTTGTTTTCTTTCATTTTCATTTTCATTTTCTTCTTTATCAAATTGGATTGCGTGGGTCTCAGCTTGTTCAGTTTCATAGTAAGGCTGCTTCTCATGGGTTGCCTTTCTTCCAAAGATCTTTATTACTTAATATGAGTCCTTATTTCAGCTACACTACATCTGTACTACGCTCGTTTTGTGTCGCATTTTTTACACTCACTGGGTTACCTTAAACAGCCAGAACCGTTCAAAACACTTCTTGTGCAAGGGATGATCATGGGAAAGACTTATTATGTCAAAGAATCATTGAAATGTATTAAAACAGACGACATCGATAAAAAAGGTATGTCTTTAATATTTTGTAATTGGCATTATAATCGTTTTGTTTTTAATTCAGGAAAAGAACTATTTGAAAAGAGTACGGGCTTGCCTGTATTTGAAAAATGGGAAAAGATGTCGAAATCGAAGCACAACGGCGTTGAGCCAAGTGAAATGTTCGATAAATATGGTGTCGATACGACTAGATTGCTCGTTTTAGCCGAAGTTGCGCCCACTTCTCACAGACACTGGAGCAGTGATTGTGAGTAAATACATATTAATAAATATTTAATTTTCAGTAAAAAATTTACATATGAAAAGCGTGGTTAGAATACAGTTTGTTTTCATTAAAATTGAATAAAATAAGGATTTTTATTTTTTGAAATTATCATCAATGATAATCAGCTTTCAGTGGAGTTTTAAATTGGCAGCAAAGGATCTGGTCACTAATGGATAACTTTTTACAAGCCAGAAGGGATTATTCTGATACACAGGATGATACTGAACAGTTAAAAATGGAGGATATTTTATACGACAGTAGGAACTTCTATATAAAAGGGACTACTTTTAATTATTCTCAGTCTCAACAATTTAGTGTGGCCATATCAAAAATGCAAGGTCTAACGAACAGCCTGAAGGTTTGATCATTCCTCGTTGATTTTAATTAAGTTTTGATGAAAATATCTCTGGTTTTGTTTGTAGAAATGCGACAAGAAGACGATGGCAATAAGTGGACAGTTTGAAAGAACGCTGGCCAGTTTGATAATAATGCTGTTTCCGATGGCTCCGCATTTTTCATCGGAATTGTGGTCATGCCTTCAATCCGCTGGGAGTAGGATAGACACAGACGGTAAATTTATAAACTGGGATAAGCCCGTTTTTGAACAGAGTTGGCCACAGTTGGACGATGAATATCTTCTTCCATTGATTTGTAAGGTAAAAAAAAGACTAACTATAATAATGTTAAGAGTTAAAAAATAAAAATAATTAAACTTGGTCATCAGGTTAATGGAGCTGTAAAATCCAATGTCATGGTGCCTAGTAAGAAACTGTCAAAGTTTAAACAAGAAGATGCTTTAAATTTAGCCTTGCTTCAACCTGACGTTCAGAAATTTCTCCAAGGCTGTGACATATTGTCAAGTCAGTACACACTTGTTGACAATTATGAAGGAACAATCAACATAGTCATAGACCATTATCAAAGAAGAAAAATTTTATTAGCATCTGGCAACCAACAGTCCAATAAGATGAGATCATAAATACCTCAGTTATAGGATTAACTCATTTTCTAATAAAATTTTTTAATAATTTCTAATTGTTTCATGAAATAGTCTTTTTATAAAATCACATATCATATGTGATCATAGTCATTCTAAGTCTTACTTTGTCTCAAGTTTCCTGTTATCTAGTCCTTGGTAAAACAAAATTAAATTTCAAATCACACATGTATATTTCCACATGGCAATATTAATTTGTTTAATGTTTACCCTTTTATACTTTTGTATAAAAAAATAAATAAAGTAAAATAAAAAAATATTCATATGAATAGACTTGCTAAAAAAGTTAGAATTGCTAAAAAAATTATTTTACGAAACATAGCAATAAGTATATGAATGAAAATTGTCTGATAATTAAGATTAACATTATTTTTTAGAAATAAAAAGTTTATAAATACTGATAGAGAATAAACCCCTAAATTCAGCTAAGAATCTTCAGGATACTCATTTTTTACCCCTTGAAGGGATTGTTTGTTCGACGGATCCTTTGGCACTATTTTTTTTTCTTTGTTTCTGGAGCGGCTTCCAGCGACTTTTATCTTTTTTGTGAGGTTTATTTCGTAAACCGTCATAGATTGGCCTTTAATTTGGCCTCTTCTCTGCCTTTCATTCAAGGAACTAATTTGATCTTTCATGGCAGTTTAATTTGTTTTTCAATAATTTTGAGATTTTTTATTTTCTTTTAGTGTCTTTAGCTAAGTTTATTGTTAAGGAAGAGTTGACTATATAAAACAACTTGAAAGTCGTTTTTCTTCAACTAATTCTACCATTTTTGTTGGGTCTATTATGTTAGCAATTAAATCCTTTACCTCCAGAGAGGAACTAGATCCCTCTGATTTTTTTTATTGCTTTCCATATAAGGTCCCACGAGAGTTACAAGTAAATAATATAAATAAATTTACAGAAACAATGAGACATGCAGCAAACATGCTACTTATGAAACTGTTATTAAAACAATTCTTAAGGATCTATCCTTAATTTTTCAGACGGATCAGTCATAGAGGGAACAACTGATCCAAATAAAAAATATAAACAGCTATTTAGACTCCCATTTTTCGGCAGAGCTTGTAGGCATTTTAGAAGTTCTCAGGTATGCCCAATGTCATAAAATATCCAGCACAGAAGAACATGGAAAAGGAATCACTACAAATATGGGAGCAGGAATGGAGTCAAACCATAAATGGATGTGAAACAAGGAAATACTTCCCGACCATATAATCTCGTCTGAAAATGAGCATCTGCCATACCACCATGGCATTGACAGGTCATGGAAAGCACCTGTCATATCTCACCCGATTTGGCATAATTGATGATGCGACATGCCCTTGTAATGGGGGTACACAAACATGGGGACACATTCTATTCAGTTGCTGGATGTTCTATCGAAAAAGGACATGCCTCATTATTCAGTCATTAAATCTAGAGTGGGGGATAGATGGCAACATGAAAACAGCTTACTGCAAAACCATAGCCTGGAATTGTTCAAATTTATAAACTCAATTGACATTAACAACTACGAAGTGATAACAAAGTGCAATAAATTTAAAGATCTAAGACTGTTAATTATCAAAAATCTATATAATGTAATATATTGATTGTTAAATACCTGCAATCACTATGGGAGCAGGTAGAATAAACTCCCTGATCACAGGGTGTACTGTGGCCAGGAAAAAATCCCACACGGTAGTCTGTTGCTGTATTAAAAGATACAAATCAACAACCCAAATTTTTTTTTATGGGGGGGAGGAAATGTTTACAGGTTGATTAGGTTGGGTTAGGCTAGTTTAGGAATGATTAGGTTACATTGGGGTAGAATAGTTTTGGAAAGCTTAAGTTAGGATAGTTTTGAAATGGTTGTTAGGCTAGTTTAGGTTATATTGGGTTAGGCTACCTATGAAATTAATAGGTGAGCATAGTTTTGGAATGGTTAGGTTAGGCTGAGTTAGGATATTTTAGGTTACATTAGAGTAAAATCGTTTTGGAATGGTTAGGTTAGGATAGTTTTGGAATGGTTACGTTAGGATAGTTTACAGATTATTAGATTAGATTAAGTTAGGTTAATTAGTTAGTTAAGAAATGGTTGGGCTGGTTAATTTAGGCTAGTTTAGGAATGATTAGGGTTACGATAGTTTCAGAATGGTTAGGTTAGGTTTGATTAGTATAGTTTAGGAATGATTAGGTTAGGTTGGGTTAGGATGGTTTTGGAATTTTTTTTGTCTTTGACCAAATTAAACATTGGCCTTGGATTTGATGCCTGAGGGGAGCCACACAAACGGCCGCCAGCTGACTGTACATGCCAGGTGGGATTTTGGAATGGTTTGGTTAAGCTAGTTTAGAAATGATTATGTTAAGATAGTTTTATTATCTTGAGGTGAGGAATGATTAGATTTGGTGAGTTAGTAGTTCAGCAATTATTGGGTTAGGCTAGTTAAGAAAGATTAGGTAAGGGGGTTAGAATAGTTTTAGAATGATGAGGTTAGGTTGGGTTAGCATAGTTTTGGAATGGTTTAGTTAGACTAGTTTAGGAATGATTAGGTTAGTTTTTTTTTGCAAAGGAAACTCATATTTATAGCTATATGTCTTAAATTAGCCTTTTCCTGCCATTTAAACTGCCTCCAGTATTGTAGTACATAAACAAATGTGTAAAATTAAAATTTACAATTTTAGAATTTAGAGAATAAGAAAATCATATTAATAAATAAAACAAGAACATTTGCATTTTCATATATATTCAAATACATTACATTCAAATTAACACATGCACTTCAATAAACACCATTTATAAAATTGTTTAATGTCATTACCATCACAGAATACATAATAAATTTAAATTCTTTAATGTTCAAATTTTAACAATTGGTAAAAAAATGTCCAAATTTTAAACAGATATGGTGTGATTGAAACCTGATGCCAAATATAACTTTGAATTTAATAAAAAAATGAACGTCTCGATAATGATATAAAATTGTAAAATTTGTTCAATTTATCTTTATTGTGTACAGTGAAATACAACAAATGCTGTGACGAAACATCACTTTGATGTATGACTGAATATCAAAATAATGTAAAGCGTTGACACCATTGTATTTACATGCTTCCCCTTATTTCAGGCTCAGCAAACATTTTGGCGTCTTATCCTCCACAGTCAACATTTCAATACGTTTTTATTTTTTTTATCAAATATAACATTATTTTTGTGATTAAATGGGCTGAATATATTGACAAGATATTTCACACTGACTGTAGATATTTATTGTTTCAATTCATCTTATTTAAAAATTTTGTATTTTACAAAACATTCGCTATGAAAAAATAAATAAAATAAAATAAAGAAAATATGGAGATTCTTAAACAAATTCAATTTTTTTTCCAAAAAATTTAAATAGATTTAAATATTTGAATCACATATTTGAAACCAATGGCTCTCACATTTGACAGGAATACAAAATTTGATCTTTTCAGTTTGCGATAAGTCTAAAAAATACGCTTTCCTTTATTAGCGATGAATGTTAAATGTCGCTGAGACAAAATGTACATATTTTCCTAATAATACATAAGTGCCTATGCACTGTTGATTATTGATAAAAATAAAACTTTCAATCGAAAAATATATAACAATTACTGTTTTTTAAACCTAAAATCACAATACAAATCACATTGAATAGTATCAGGTCACTTAATTTCTTGTACTTAATCTTATATGGCTTATAAAAATAAATCATCTTTAATTCTAATATAAAACCAAAAATACAGAATATCAGTCATATGTGATTAATCAGCCTAAATAATTTGACACTAGAGTATGACTTTAAAAAACGAAAATGATTTAAGATAAATTTAATTGCCTGAGATCCGAATCAATACAACAATACAAAAACTCAAAAAAACTGACTTAAATACGATACTATTAAATATAACTATATATCCGGGACGTTATTTAATATCACAATGAAAATGACTGAAACAAAACTATATAAGAAGATTCATCCATAAATGGTAACAGCAGGCATTGACGACACCTTCAATTAAATTATGAATATCTTCTGCTGACACATCACATTTATATGGATGTCGAAAAACAATACTAAGCTCCTAGAAAAAATAAATAAAACAAAATAAAATTATGGACATATTTTGGATAGATTAACCTATGATGAACCTAAAGCTTGGTCTTTTTCAGTCTGCCTATTTATTTATGCTGTTTTTGTTTGTTAGATGAGTGGGTTTTGGGGGGTCTTTATCTGTTGGTACCTTTGATGGATTAAGTTTATTATTGGTTCTGAATTGCTGTTATGATCACTGGAACTTTTTATTTTAAATTTGTATAGTGTTTTAAATGTGTCAGACGTGCGTTATTGTTTTGTGTGTTCATGATTTTTTAACAGGGATATGTTTTTGGGCTGGATACATAAATTTTTGTGTGAGACCATTTTCCTCCCATCACCGGGGTGGCACGTGAGTTGGTTCAAGTTATATTAGGTTGGGTTAGGCTAGTTTAAAAATGGTTAGACTACTTTAGGAATCGTTAAGTTAGGTTAACGCTCTGATTGTAAAGACTTTCCTGGGATACGGCAAAAATTTTGATAAACAAATTTTTTTCTTTCAAAAAATAAAAATTACAAAAGATCAAATTGAAAAACGGTCTTCACAGTAACATTGCCAAAGCAATGCTGATGGTCTGTGACATCGATTCATTTCCAAAAATACCTCCAACACCATACAACAACTTTCTAGAAGAGGTGTGTCATACTGGAATGACATCTGTATATGGGAAGGGGTTAGTGCGTCGTTATGCCATAACAAATGGGTTAAGACAGTTTAGGAATGGCTGGGTTTGGTTAGTTGGGGTGGTTAGGCTAGTTTAGAAATAGGGTAGACTGCATTGGGAAAGTTTAGAAATGGTTAGGTTGGGTTGAGGCAGTTTAGGAATAATTAGGTTGGTTTAAGCATGCTTAGGTTAGGCTAGTTTAGAAATGGTTTGGTTAGTTATATTGTTCTAGATGTATTTGATTTAAAAAAAAGTTAATATGAGGGCCTGGGATAGTCCTTGATTTGTGTGTACCTTTGGAGAAGTGATAATAAGAGAAACACAAAAAATAAATTTAATAAAATAAAAATGATGAACGCATTAATAAAAAAATGACCTGGCCCAAATCAGTGTCAGTGTTCTCATTGTCACTGTTTTATTTTTTGATGAAATTAAATATATATAAATTTTGTAATTATTATTATTATTTTTTAATGGGGGAGTACTTCAGTGCTTCTACTGGTGTTATATAGTTTAGCAATGGCTAGATTTGGTTAGGTTAGTTTAGAAATGGCTAGATTTGGTTAGGTTAGTAGATTTGGTTAGGTTAGTTTAGAAATGGCTAGATTTGGTTAGGTTAGTTTAGAAATGGCTAGATTTGGTTAGATTAGTTCAGAAAGGGCTAGATTTGGCTAGGTTAGTTTAGAAATGGTTAGGTTGGGGCTAGGTTAATGTAGAATAGTTTGGGAAAGGTTAGGTTAGGTAGGGTTAGGGTTAAGAGATAGTATAGGTTACATATCCACATAGTTTTGTGTTGAATCTGCTGTTGTACATTTATAGTTTTTCAACCACATTTTTCATCCTTTATGCCGATAATGTATTACTTTTAGGCTTGTCTGTATTGTTAAGGTTTAAAAAAAAATTTACATTAGGCTTGTTTATATTTGGGGACAGAGATAATTAAAGTCTTCAATATAAGTGTACAAGAATCTTTATACCTAAGAGAATCTTTGTTCATTTATAATGTATACCTGCCAAAATTGTCTATAAAACATGAGAAAAATCTTACCCCAAAGCTGTTAGCTGAATCCAATGTGAGCATAACAAAACCTTCCAAAAATCGGGGGTGAAGAATTAGAAGATGTTGTGTAAAACTGTCCGGGGAAACAAAAACTTTGCATTTGTCAGCATATTTTGACATCAGAATTTTCATTAGGCCTTGATACCACGTAAATGGCTGTAGCAACATAGGATTCAGGCGTTTATCCATGTCCAACATTTTCTGAATATATGCTAAATCCCTGAGTTCAAATAGCTCACAATAAGTCAGCGAATTCTGAAAAATATATATTATTTTTAATGTAAAGCACCATTGTAAATGTGGAAAACACAACGTTTGAAAAACTTACACTGCTGGGATTCGACAGAAGTTTGTTCCACAAAAGGTGAATTTGACAATCAATGGAACCTTTGTTGACCATCATTTCAATATGTTTTTGCACTTTCAAGGATTCTAATTTCATTAATTGCTGCATGAGCTGTTCGTGTGATGAATAATATCCCAAATAGTTTACAGATTCTCGTCTGAAATTAATTATATAATTAAACTTAAAAAAATTTGAACAAAAAAGGATAATGATACAATAATATCACTTCTGAAACTTTGTGGTTAGGCCTGTGAGCTGAACATTGCTTCATCATCCTGATCATCCTTGTTCAAGAAGATTAGGTAGAACAAGGATGATCGGGGACAATTAAACCACATCATCTCATTGAAATTAAAAAATCACAACCTAATGAGGTAGGCATCATCGGTTTCTCCAGTTTCAAATTCTTGCTGTGGTATACAATCTAGATACGTGTCTGATGACTGGGTAGACGAGCACAATTTGGAGTAGACTAGATGATTTGTCGTAGAGACGGTACAGAATTTCCCTAGTGACCATTCGTTATCAGGCTTTGGATAAAGATCCCTATAATTTAAATATAGATGGGTTAACATTCAGATTCTTTGTCTAGTAAATTAGCTAGTACCTCCCAGGTGTAAGGATAACATAGTAATTCAATTTGATAACAGTTTTGATACTGCTCTTTTCCAATGCGACTATTGAAATTACTTTAAATTCGTCAATTTGCTTGCCTTCACCCATATCTTTCTTTGGAGTTATGCTTTGTTTAATTAATATGAACTCATTTTCCTAAAATAATCATTAAATAAGTTTACTAATGGGATGAAATATTATATTAAGTCCTTTACTTACTCTAGAAGAATAATCAGGGTCTACATTGGATTCGTATGGTAGCATACGTACAACTTCCATGTCGTAATCCTTCTCGTGACTTAATAGGTAATGAAATAACTGAAGTGGGGGTGTCGACAAATTTGAAATACAGAGTGAGCCTGAAAAAAAAAAAAATTGATTATAGACAATATATTTTACATAAGGGTGAAAATTAATTTACCGCATGACGCTAAACTCCTTGCAAAATTTGGAGCTTTTGGGTAGTATTTAAGAAAATCGTCTAAAAAGCTTGTTAGATGATAGTCACGAGTTAATGGCGATGGATCTCCCGATATGTAACATTGCAAGCAACGAAGATGAAAATCATAAGTGAATGAGTGAAGGTGTATTAACACTTTTACTCTTTCACATTCATCCAGGAAATTAAGTAAAATCTGTGAAAAAAAAACATTATTCTGCAACTTTGCCATATTGATAACACTATTAATAATTTATGAAATAATGTACACACTTGTGGTAGCCAGCTCGTTGTTGGTTTTGGCTGGAGCCTTGAATATTCAATAGCATGTAATTTGACTTGAAAAAACGGTTCTAGTAAGGATATTTCTAACATGATGATCCCACCTAAAAGTGACTTCTGCAAATAACATTTTGTACTTTCATCTGGCTGAGCACATTTGCCTCTAAAAAAAAAAAAATTTAATTGATGCAACGACAAGACTGATATTAAAAGTAGGTACATTTTCCGCGGCGTGCTTGGTGCAGTCTGTACTGGGATGTACCCCAAAGTCTGCAAGTACTGTTTGTATTCGTTGACAAAATTGGAACATATCGCCTGATGCCAGCGTAAATCAACTGAATAATCCAAAATCTGAAAATAATAGTTTTATAACATTTCTTGAAGCATGCATGATGAATTTAAAGCTTGATTGTTTCCGATCATCCTATAATTAAATACATTTGTGTGGTGTATCAAATATAAATAAAACTGATTGTCTTAAAAATGTCAGAGGGGTTGATGTGCAGGGAGATTGTACGGTTAGGGCTCTCCCAGGTCCCTTTAGTATCAATAGAAACCATGAGTGAAAAGAAGTGCTTGTGTCCGTGGAGCAACAGATTATTATCAAGTTTTTGACCAAGGAGGGGGTGAATTCAAATGAAATTTGGGCGTAATTAAAGGCACAGTATGGGGAAAACACCCTGTCAAGATCCCGTGTCTTTGCATGGCACAAAAAATAGATGTGAAAAGGTCAAGAACCAGAGCCTTTATCGTTGGCGAAGTACAAGTGTGACCGAGGCTAACATTAAGGTGGCTTTTCATGCTAACTTTCTCCATGATCAACGCACAATTAAATGAGCAATATTATTGTGAATTCACTAATTTCGAGGTCCGCTTGACCAATTAATATACTACAATTAATTAAGGTTTTTAGTTGAGATAAAAAAAGTCAATGGCACGAGCGGGATTCGAACCCACGATCTTCGGCTTGATCTACCACCTGAGCTATCGTGACATCAATCCACTCGGACACCAACTTCCTATCTCAACCCCACCTTTTGAACTTTCCCTCCTTTTTGCCATTTTTCAAATGTCGTGTAATCGGGTTGGATTCTCGACAACAAATGAAATGGCCACAGAGAGCTTTAGTGAAGTATACTTCATTTTTTATCATTAAATTCACTAATTTTGTGGTCCGCTTGACCAATNGTTGGTATCCGAGTGGATCGAGGTCACGATAGCTCAAGTGGTAGAGCAGCGGCGTATCAAGCTGAAGATCGTGGGTTCGAATCCCGATCGTGCCATTGACTTTTTTATCTCCACTAAAAACCTTAATTAATTGTAATTATTGTAAATATTGGATACTGTGAAATTCGTCATTTCAAAGAAAAATGAGGAAGAAACAATTGGCCAGAAATGCCATTATTCTGCAAGATAACACCAGGCTTCATATGCCTTATGCCTCGAGGCAAAAATTGGGTGCAATAGGATGAGAAATATTAGAATATTCACCCTATAGTCCGGATTTGTCATCTTAGGACTTTCATCTTTTTGGAACCCTCAAAGAACCATTTAGGAGTCAGCGTTTCGATGTCTATGAAGTGGTGGAAGCATTTGTGCTCCGACAACTACTACGAGAATGTCCCAAGAGTTTTTATGATGTAGTAAAAAAGAACACCCAATTCGATGGAAAAAATGTATTTCTAGGGCAGGAGAATTTATAGAAAAATAATACATTTCTGCAAGCTTAATTAAATAAAGTTAGATTTTTATCTTCAAACAAGTCCCGTTTTTATTTGATACACCCTTGTATTTTATTGTAATGCCATTTTTAGTAATCCAGCCCTATTTGAAACACTTACCCGCATTGAACTTGTATTAAGAAGGAGAGAATTGTCCCGTGTTGCAGCGGATTCTAGCCTCCACCTAAAATTATTAAATAAATAATTCAAACATTACTATCAGTTTTTTTTTAAAAAGATGTGGCTTTATGATACTTACTTTGGATGGAAAAGAAGAGGTGTGAGGCAATAATGTATTGATCTGGAATAAGATAAGAATAATTCCAGGGTATGTTCAGAAAGAGGTATGTATGGTGTTACACCTCTACTTTGCCACATCATGTGAAGTTTATCCTGTTGTTCTAAAATTTAGTAAAAAACCCATTAAAATCATCGTATAGAAAATAATTATGAAAAATAAAATATAGAAAATAACTTTTTATTAATTAAAATTAATTCCATTGGACTTAATTACCCTTTTCCAATGAGAAAATCCTTTTTTGAAAAAAAAGTTATTACTTTTGGAAATCAACATTAATTCGAGACCGCACCTCAAGATCTCCAAATAATCATTGGCTAAACACCACACATTAATTCGAGACTTTTTCAGTTTGAAAATTTTCTACCCATTCCCATCAAGAACTCTGAAAAGATTCAGGTATTTTTAGATCTTTTTCGATATTGCAGGACAAGATACGTTTAAGTTTCCAACCAATGTATCTTAAGTTTTCCCTTGTGATTTTTGCGGTGTGCAGGCAAGTGTTTACCTAAGGAGGGTCTTTTTTTTATTATCTAAGCCTGGATCAAAAGTTTTCAAGTTTTGAACAGCACAGTTGGCCTCTCATGTGGCTGTTTGACTTGAGTAACTCATAGTGCAGACTACATTTGGCAGTCCATAAAATAGTGACTAACATTTTAAGTGAATGTTTACAATGTTTTTGTATACTTGCTTGTTTGTATCAGTTAAATTATGCAGTACCAATTTATTTACTTTTCTTTGGATACAGGCGTTTTGTTGATTCAGAGATATTGAGAGAAGCCCTGGCAAGTTTGGCAGGTATTCAATTAGTTTTACCTCTATCACAAAATTACCAAGACCAAAATTTTATCGTCTCAATAGGGAGTGCATAATCAACGAATGCATATTTTATTGAATTTGAACTCAAAAGGCAAAATAGAGCGATTTTGGAGTTCGACACTAACCATATTGCTTTTAGCTATTTGAAAACTTAGCTAAGACTTGATTCGAATTTGATTTCATCATTAGTATTTATGTGTAGAAATGTGTGGTGTTTAGTGACTGTAAATTAATGATTATTTGGAGATCAGATGCTGTATCTGGTATGAGAAAGGTTGTTTTTCTAAAACATACGTCACACCAGACCGCATCTCACGATCTCCAAATAATCATTAGTATTTACCCTGATAAAGGTCACATTACAAAGAAACCATTATAAAACACTAACTTAAAAATAACCAGAACTTTTTGGAAGACCTGGTACTTACAAAACAAAATAGTATACCTCTTTTGTCTTTAGATCTTATATCCATAACTTGATAGATACTTGAGACAACTGGATCATTGCTAGTACTTTTTTTAATTATAGGGTCTGAATCTCTTAGTATCTGTGTTATGCTTGTCATGTTGGCCGAAGGTATCTTTCTTGGTGTTGAAGCTGGAGTAAAATTCAATAAACTTTCAAACTCAGTTCCATCCATGCAGGTCAACTATAAAAAGGTCATTTTTTAAATGCATTAGATCCTGATATTAGGAAGTAATTTGTGGGGACAATTATAACAGTGAGAGCCTGTTTTATATTTTGATTTGTTTAACCATGGATCTGTTTTAGTTTTCAACCATTTTTTATTGAGTGACTATTTTCACACCATTGTGTGTTGTCAGGGAGAGCTCATACATTGGGTTAGGACAGGGAGAGTTAGGTTAATGTTAAGGACAAGTTAGGTTAGGAACTTAAGGTTAGGGTAGTGTTGTCAGGGAGAGCTCATACATTGGGTTAGGACAGGGAGAGTTAGGTTAATGTTAAGGACAAGTTAGGTTAGGAACATAAGGTTAGGGTAGAGTGTTGTCAGGGAGAGCTCATACATTGAGTTAGGACAGGGAGAGTTAGGTTAATGTTAAGGACAAGTTAGGTTAGGAACATAAGGTTAGGGTAGAGTGTTGTCAGGGAGAGCTCATACATTGGGTTAGGACAGGGAGAGTTAGGTTAATGTTAAGGACAAGTTAGGTTAGGAACATAAGGTTACGGTAGATTAGGTAGGGTTAGGTTTTAAGTGAAGCACAAGTTTTTCTTAAATTGTGATTATTTGCTAAATTTTAATTTACCTGTGGTGTAGATTTTCTTAAACAAGGTTGGTTGTGAAACAGGCCCATTTTCTGAGTTAAAATGCCTATAAGAAAATTTGATCTGGCACTCAACCAGAGTCCTAATTGGGTAAGTAATTTAGTAAGATTTTCAACTCTGTCCTTACTCCAGTTGTACATATAAACAATGACCTAATTAAATAAACTAATTTTAGAACAAAAAATCAGAAAATATATTAATATAAAAAGATTGTACGTTACCTGTTCATTTGTTATCACAGCAATTAAAAATCTATGCCGTGGTACAAATTGGTTTCCTTCATGTACAGGCGAAACGTAAGCTGAGAATTTTTGTAAAACTACGGTATCTAATTACATAAAGGCGTTATAGGGAAGCTGTATTAATGAGAATTCAAAACAATAATTATAATTAAAAAAGGTTACTTTTGATATCACTATCCATGGAACAACGTTGTTCTGTGTGAAGTTGGTTAGTATAAAAAGATGCGTTACCCGAAATGAGGTAACATGTCGAAATAGAGGGAATTTCATAATCACCGTTATAGGTAATTGCTCCGGTTTTTTCACTGTTTTCATAAAAAACATGCGTTATTGGTTCATGTAGCTGGATTAGATTTTTTATTTCTCTCAACGTTATTGTAACTGCATGCCTAAAAGTTTTCAATATGTGCTCATCACTGACAGAAGTTACAGTATTGGTAAGGTAATAAAAATAATTTTATTACCTTGTAGTTAATTTAATAGTGTGGGTTTTAACAGCTGGTACATTTAGTTCATGTCCGTATTGTAACCAACCAGGTATTTCTTTATAAAATAATTTGTTCATAACTTCAGATTCTTCTCCAGTAGTTTTATCTGAAATAATATTATAACAGTAATACAATGCAGTTTATGATAAGCTGTACGTACCTATGCATTTTTCTTTTAACGGTGTATTTAGAAGATGATATTCCATTAATAGATCCCATAAAGAAAACTGAACGATTCCTTTTAATTTTTGGATCAGAAGCTCCATATTGACCCTGCCTTTCTTCCACAAACGGACTTCCATTAATACATCCGAACCTACAAGAATTAGATAATTATAATTTGACATTAAAAAAGAATATCAAAAATATAATTCAAACCTACTTTCAGTATTATCACAGCTTGAATCAAACACTTCAGTACAAGTGATTTCATGAAATATACCGGGATGCAAAGGTTGATTTTCGCAGAATATATTAATGGGCTTGTTGCATTCACCTTCGCATAGTATATTGCCTTTCACATCAACTAACGACACAGCAAGACATGCAATCCCTTTATTTCCAGACACAGGGCTTTGATTGTAAAGGTAAATATTATTTTCGGATATTCTCTTCGGAGAGCCTTCTGGCTGGGAGTAGTCCTGAAATGCATAATATGTATTAAAATATTGAAAAATGCCCATGTAGATACAAAGATTAGAATTAAAATTGTTAATGTCAGAGTTATCTTTAATGATAAATTCTAACTTACAAGGATTATCCTAAGGAAGAGGGATCACTGATTTTAATAAAATTTCTTGTTGTCATACTAGGTCAAAAAATATTTGACATGTGTATGAGGATTCCCTTTAATATACTACGCAGGGGTCGGCTACCTGCGGCCCTTTGCAACTTTTTGCGCGGCCCGCCAAAGCCCAATATAATTTTAGGAAAAAGCAAAAAACTTGAGTGTGAGCGTGCCGAAATGTGGCCGGTGACAAAAATGCGCGCTAACAGAAGCATAATGGGAAACCTATTTTACTGCGCAAGGTAAGATGGCTCAGCCGTGGGAAAGTTTTAAAAAGATTTTTCGAGTTGATAGACGAGATTGAAATGTTTTTGACAGAAAAAGGAAATAATATACCAGAATTATAAAATTTTAAATGGATAAGCGAGTTAGCTTTTTTTTGTGGACATTACAACTTACCTCAATAAATTAAATATAACACTACAAGGCAAAGGAAAGTTAATCAATGAGCTATTTACAGAAATCAAAAGTTTTCAGCTTAAAATAAAATTGTTTATTTCTCAACTTGAAAAGAATAATTATTGTCATTTTCCTACTTTGCAATCATTTTTAACCAAAAACGACAGTGTCCTTCGAATATTTTTATTGAGTCACTAAAAGTACTGGATGAAAATTTTCATCATCAGTTTCAAGATTCTTATGCAAAAGAAATGGACATGGATTTGAAAATCCTTTAAAATTTGATATTGTAAAAGCACCAGACAATTTACAACTAGAGTTAATTGATTTGCAATCTAACAATGTATATAAAAATAATTTTGATGAAAATAATTTAATTGCATTTTATTCAAGTCTACCAGAAAACAAATTTCCCAATTTAAGAAATTTTGCAAAGTCAATTATTTGTATTTTTTCAAGCACCTATTNAAGGTGGGGTTGAGATAGGAAGTTGATGTCCGAGTGGATCGAGGTCACGATAGCTCAAGTGGTAGAGCAGCGGCGTATCTAGCTGAAGATCGTGGGTTCGAATCCCGCTCGTGCCATTAACTTTTTTTCATCTCAACTAAAAACCTTAATTAATTGTAATTTTCATGAATGAATTTCATAAAATCAAAATATAGAACGAGGTTGACGGATGAAAATTTACAAAACTTGTTGAGGATCTCAGTATCCCAAACACAACCGGACTTAAATGAATTATCAAACAATATTCAAGAACAAAAAGCGCAATGAATTTTAATGAATGAATAAAATGAAAGATAAACTATTTTCCTTAATATTTTATATTTACATATTTATACATATGTAATTGGAATTGTATTTTCTTTTTTTCCCTTTTAAGAATTGTAAAATTTTTGTTCTCTGACATTATTGTTATTATAGCATGTCAATAAAAAATAATTTTTTTCTATATTTATTTTTAATAATATTTATACTCGTATATGATATAAAAGTACTATTTAAGTTGCATTTGAATGTGCAGCGCGCATAAAAAATTTTATTTTGAAAATGGCCCGCCGTCCGAAAAAGGTTGCCGACCTCTGTGCAACAGGATTCAAGAAAAAGTATTTTAGGTATAAAATGACCTCAAATGGTTCTAACATTGTACAACAAACAACAACTCTCTCCATCAATTTAAATGAAATGTTAAAGCATGTTAGTACAGAAAAAAATATTAGACACAAGTAAAGATGTTTGGCAAAATAAGCCCCAGAAAGCTTCCAATAAAATGTTAAATACTGTGGTGTATTCTGGCTCTGCGAAAGGCTAAAATTTAATTTCTATTATCTAATTAATAAATTAGTTCAAGTTAATTTCTTGCTAATGGACCCTTGAAGCCGAGAAAAAAAATTAGGAAAATTTAAGTAATTTTTAAAAAATGTGTTTTTATGTCTTTGTTGTATCTAACTTATTTTGTTTTTCACCTAATAAAAATGAGTTAACAAATAAAAAGTTTATAAATAAATAAAAAGTTACAAAAACAAAAGAGTGAGTAGTCTAGTAAAAGTATGTCAAAAAAATTTATTTAAAACTATTGGATTCGTTTTAAGCACTCTTTAAAGCCCTTAAATATAATTTTTGCAGCAATTAAAAAAAAATAAATAAAAAAATAATAAAAAATAAAATAAAAAAAAATAAATATCTTTCAGCTGAACCAGAGGCAATTTTTTATCTCACCGATGTCTGATGTTCGGCTTAAAATTTCATAACTCCGCTTGAATTTTACCAAAATTCCCTGTTTTTAATCTGTTGCAAAGTTAACAATCTTTAGGTTATATGTCATTACAATTCAGAAAAATAAGGATGAAATTAACAATAACTCCTTCCTTAAACATTTTATCTTTTATTTCCAGTTCTGATTTAGCTACAGAGGCCAAATTTGTTTATATCACGTACAGTTTATAGGGTTCAAAACCTCTGTAAAATTTCGTGTGGATCAGTAGAGTCTTTTCAAAGTTATAATTTTTGAGCTTTTGCGGGAGAACCAAAAGCAAGGTGAAAAATTTGAGAGAAAAATAATTTTTCGATTTTCACAAAAGTTTGTATTCAGGAGTTGTGTAGGGTGCAGAAAACAAATATCGACTTTGTTTCTCACTAAAAAATATTTTAACCTACTTTGCTACTTGGTGACAAAATAATTAAGTACTGTATTTCAATAAATAGTTGGAATTTGGTGTGTAGATGGATCCAGTTTGTCTGTTAGCAAAGTATGTTAAAATATTTTTTTATTAATGTATATTGTCTGAATCTTGGTGTGGCGTGGATAAGAAGGAAAACAAATTATTATCTGTCAAGCTTCTGACCTAGCTTAAAGACGTTTACAAATCGGCAAATTGTGTACAATTTGTAGACATCTTTCAGATTATTTTGCCCTAATGATGACGATAAAATAAGTTGAAAAATTGGCAGATAACTGAATTTGTTTTTTCATCCCAACCACATTGAGATCCAGATTATTCATAAGTAAAACTGCAGTCGATACATCTAACGTTTTATGTATTAACATTTTCTGTGTTTTTCTGATGCTTTTTTAATTGGGTCAACAATATTTTGTTAAAAATATAATAATGATATGAAAAAATTACCTGGAATTGAAACCGGTTATCAATGTACTTAGGCAAAAATAAAAACTGCAAAAGATTCTGCCTTATGTAAAATATTAAAGCTTCCAATGAATGATGTGCGTACTTGGGTATAGTGAACTAAAAAACAAAATGGTATTTTGTACAATGAGAAAAAAAAATTATAGCTAAAACGATGAGAATATTTACTTGGGTAATGCTATCAGCTTTATGGTTAGGTTTTTGAATAAAATGAACATCATCTGGAGAAAGTTTGCACATGGGGTTTCTGGCAAGCATGACAGAAACCACTTCTAAAACCGCATCGTCCAACCTGTTATGTAAAACCTGAACCAGTTCGTTTGTAATTTCAGCACCTGTAATGTTTCATTCATCTTTATGTGTATATGTATGAACAGTAATATTATTTTACCAGCAGGAGCAATTCCGTGCACTTTTAAAGTTAACTCTTCTTGTTTTGAAACCAAGCTGTCGATAGATTCTCCAAAAGATTTCAACCTTGGCCTATAGTCTTTCTGAAAAGTCAAATAACAAAAATGTGACACAAACTATCCTATAAGTGAAACTTTATGTTTGAGCCTTACAGCTAGCGAGTCGTCATGTTGCTTTTTATTAGTCAACGAATTTATTGAAGAACTTCTTGAAACTGGCCCTGGAGAATTTTCTTCCTCAATAGTTTTTGATGAATTTTTTATATTTTCGTGTAATCTGAAAATAAAAATAAAGCCTTGTTACTGAAAATAAACTATTTATTAGAAGGAAGTATAAGTATGTATGTATCATTTTTGGGACAATAAACATCAATATTGGTCATCGCCAGCCCTCTGCATTTTAAATGGAAAATCATTTCTTTCTTTTTTCTTTCATGCATCTTTGTCACCGACTCTCGCATATTTTATCTCCTATTTACTTAGCTTGCTAACCTCTCAAAGGTACCTCTCAGGTTGTTAAATTAAGAGAGCAAGAAAAACATAAATGCATAACACATAAATATTTTCACACTTCCCACCTCTCTCTGAAACACGGCTAGTGACAGGAACCCCTCCCCCCATTGAAACACCTGGAAAGTGCTACAGAAAACCCACAATGCCCCAGCGAGAAAACCTGATTGTACTTCCAGCATCATGATAATGGATATTCCGATGATGCTAATAATATCCTGACACATCCCTTAACAAGGCAAGTCTGGTCAGTTTTAAGGTGGCCATTCACGATCGCTCCAAGCCGTACAGCTCCATTTGGAGTGCCTGAAATTTGAGGGGGCATTCACGACCGCTCCACAGCCAGTCGCTCCATACTTCATCTAGTGAATTACCTTCTCAAAATGGATGATGTTCTCTTGTGCCACGCTACTGTTTGTTTATATATTAAAAGCAAAAAACTGAAGAGGAAATGGTGTAAGAAGTGGCTCCTGAACAGAAGCCGTGATACCCACATCAATTTGATGAAAGATCTTTCCCTTGAACCTGGTGATTGGTGAATCCTATTTAAAGATGGATGAAACGTCTTATTTATTCTATATTTAGTGTTCTATTGACCAAATTACTTCTTTCAATTAATTAATCTTTTTTTTTGTAAGGTTTTGGTTGAAATGAAAAAGCTTGTGCCACGAGCGGGATTTGAATCCATGACCTTCGGCTAAATACGCCGCTGCTCTACCACTTGAGCTATCGTGACTTTGACTTAGATGAAGTAGTAGTATTTAGCCGAAGGTCGTGGGTTCGAATCCCGCTCGTGGCACTAGCGTTTTCATTTCAACCAAAACCTTACATAAAAGGATAAATTAATTGAAAGAAGTAGTTTGATCAATAGACCACTAAATACAATGGATTTATTGAAGAATATTAAAGTACATGAATTAATAATTTAGCTCTAATGCTTTTCATATTGTTTAAATCCAATAAGACCACTCGTGTAAACGATATCAAAACAACCATTGATAATGCCAAGAAAACAATTACAAACCTAATTATTGAAAATACTTATTAAGATTAACGTCTTATTTATATTTACTCCAGCTTGTTACCCCCTTGATTAGAAAACAAAAGACAGTCATGAGAAAAATCATCACTCTACATGAAAGGTTGGCAGCCACATTTCAATTTCTCGCTACAGGGATGAACTATGAAGAACTTAAGTTCTCAACTACGATTTCTGCTCAGCGCTTAGGGGTAAGGTAAGGCGGGTTATCAATACCGCATCTCTCGTTGCATTTGTATCCTTTGTTTTGAAAACATCGACCAACTGGTTGAGGACCTAATTTCTTTTATTTCTATCGTGGTAATCATTGTCCACCACTTTCCATAAACATGGTAAACTTTCATACAATTCAATCACCTCAACAATAAAATCTTGATTGGATGTCATTACCAATAAAGAATAAACGTTTTTGACTTTTTGAGAATGTACGACGGAGATGTTTGCTCAGTGACAGAAAGACAGAGACTGCGCCAAAAAAACGAGGGTTTTCCCATTCACGACCAGGCCAGTGCGCCAAAATCCCCACCCTCCCCGCCAGGTTTTCCCATTCACGAACGCGCCATGCCGTCGTCGCGCTGTAGATATTTGGAGTGGCGCGATGGAGTTTGGACCGGTCGAATATTCGGCACAGCCAGGCACGCCAGTTCAGTTTTGCCATTGATGTGGTTTTTGGAACGGCGTCGCTCCGTTTGGACTGCTAGGAGTGATCGTGAATGACCAGCTTTACTCCCCTAGAGTACTTGATATTCCTCGGGGGCGGGTTTATAACATCCATTCATGCTAATAAATTACTTTCACTATCAAGACAACACACTCTCACACCAGAGTACTCCATATCCTCAGGAAAGATGTACAAAGAGCTATTAACTTGCCTAAACACAAAAGAATTGTCCCCATGGTGTGAACCAGAGTCTTGATCATTTCACATTAATATCATAAACATTATCAAATATGGACTCTATAAGATTTCTGCATTAATAAAAAAAATAAATTGTGATGTCTTAACTAAAATAATGTTACTAACAAATTAAACAATTAACAATTATTACCTTAGATAAAAAACATTGCTTCCAGAGTTATCTTGATAAACGAACATGTTGGTTCTGTTATTAACTGAAAATCTATTGAGAACAGTCCGCAGCGCCTGAATAGCTCTCGAAAGTCCAGGTTTACCGGGGCCAGTTTTTAACCGAGGATGAAGAGTCAAATGGGTCTGCCAAACAACTGGGCAAGAAAAGGATCCAGGACGGAATTTTTGTGTCGTTTCAGCATAGCTTCCTCTCATATCAATGTCGACACCATCTTGAAAATGAAACATGATAAAAAAAATTACTAATATAATAAAACGTAACGGCCTGTAATGAATGATTGTAGTACCCTCTAGAGTTTTTAAAAATGGCAGAGACTGATTCGGGTTCCACAAATCATCAGCGGTTTCGGGTTGTAATAAAACGTCACACATCCTGGTTTCATGGAGACTGTTTAACAGTAACGTCTGGTTAACAATTTTACACACGGACTCGATGTTTTCCAATACATTTTGGTGTATGTATTTATATTGCTGGACTTCTTCTGAATCAATTTCAAGGAACCTAAAATAACATAACTTTAAGTAAATTTTGACACGAAAGTGACATAAATGTTGAAGCATTCACCTGCAATGAAAATAACATGTGACTTTTTCTTCGTAAATTTTCAATATCAGCCAAAAATTAGGCATTGTAGATCGATACTGGTTTAATTCTTTAATCCATCGGACTGAAAGTTTGGTGCTGAAGGCTGGAATCAGATGTGTACAAAATTAAAAATTTAAGGTTTATTATTTTTTACACACATAAATCTTTAGTATGAATATAGTAATACCTTTGCTGTCCATTTCTGTCCATTCACTCCTGAAATAGAAAATATAAATAAATAATACTGCAGTAACACATACAGTGAAACATCCCTATAACTCTTGGGGAATGTAATATTGTCCACTTTTGGGATAAGAGTGAAAAAATGTTTAGTATTACACTTTGGGCCACAACTGGGATTACAAGACATCAACACCTTTGAAATACTGAGGACTTTTTGCCTTTTCTATGACTAGAAGATTTTTCAAGTTCACCAAGCAAACTTTTGCATAAGAGCAAAGTAAAATGTTCCTTAGAAACTTTTCTTCTCTGACTTTAAACCCAAATGCTTTTGGGTTTAAAATCGGCACAATATTGTTTAAGCTTTTCCATCCAGTTTTGTATAACCTCGGACCTTCGTTCCACTATCATAAAAGAATGCATGCCGTGCTCTAAATGTTTTGCAACTTGTAAGGTCTTTTCTTGGATAAGTGGACCAGCCAGTGGTACTTTACTTGGTCTATGGCCAAACCAGACATTTTAGGAGGAAAAAAGGATTGATTTATCCATGGTTGCAAACTGTATCTAAAAGTTCCTTTTTATTTTTTAGAATTTCACTTGCTTGGATCTATCCGATGAAAAACTTTGTAGTCAAGTTTTGCACACTTAGTTTTTCACTTTCACACTCGCTATAATTATATTAATTTTTCCTTTAAATATCAAACACACTAAAGAAGTACTTAAACATGCTTGCAAAGTGGCATAATCAAAATTTAGCAATATTGGGAAAATATTGAAAGGCAAACAAAATAGAGGAAACGGTGTTTCTCAAGAAACGTTCATTTTCTGGAGGCTGCTGTCCACTGTAGGGAGAGTTTAAGAGTCAGAATATAGCCAAAAAAGCTGTTTGCATCTGTTATTGGGAGTATCCAGTTTATAAAAGATTTTAATGTGAAGACGCCGAGGAATCAGAATTTTTCCATTATTGAAAATTCATTGTATGGTTCTTTTGTGAGTTTCTTCTGTATTTTCAAAACGTTAGGCTTCTGCTCTTGATGGAAATACTTTCTGATATGTGGTGTCATGGGTAACAAACTTTTTAATATATTCCTACCCATATCTATCACTTTACGTAAAAACAAACAAAATAGCATGAAACCTTCTGTTAATATAAAGATAACAATGTATACACAAAAAAAGCATAATACAAATACATATATTCGGGGCTGAAATGACCAAGCTGTTGGATGCCCCTGGCAAAAAAAAAACAACAAAAAACATACAATATATATGTTTTTTTTTACTCCTGTCCAGAACCAAAGGCTGAGGCAATGCTGGCATTCAATACGAGGCCACGGCCGTTTAAGACGACGTGTCGGGTTCTAACGATGGGAAAGTTTAGATAAGGCTGGGCAGTAGGGTAAGAATTGGATCAAAAGTTTTGTGTGCAACTTTTGGCAGTGGTAGACAAAAGAAATGTTGAGGGAGGTGTCTGTTAAGGGAAGTTTCACTGTATTTCTGTACTTATAATAATAAATTTTTTTTTTTTTTTTTTTAATTATAAAAACAATGTGTGGTGATTAATCGATAATTATTCAGGAATCGTGAGATGCGGTCTGGTGGGATGTAGGTTTTAGAAAAACATTTTCTTTTTCATGCCAACGTTTCTATCTTTATTGAGATCATCTTCAGCGCCTGGGATTTACAAACATTGTTTACATTTAACAAATACATGTAGAATGTGGAACTTCAAAATAGCTTTCAAAAATTATAAAACAATTCAAACACTTTTTTCCAAAATTAAAGATACCACACCAATAACAAATAAATCTGACGTAATCTATAAAATCAACTGTTTAAACTGTCCGGCAACTTACATCGGTCTTACATCCCAATATCTGGACAAGAGAGTAAAGCAACATATCTATGATTGCAAAAAACCCAAGCAAAATCCTACAGCACTCGCTACCCACAACTTTGAACACAAACACAATTTCGACTTCAAAAATCCAAAAATATTACACACAGAACAAAACAAACATAAACGTAATTTTTTAAAAATGGTTTACATCAACAGAGATAAACACAGCATCAATTACAGAACAGACACATGTCAACCCAGTCGCAGCTACACCAATATAGAACACACACACACACACACACACATGCACGCACGCACACATATATATAATTTTATGCAGGGTGGGCGACCAAGACCCAAGGGGTTAAAAGCCTAGGTAGGCCCGTACCCCATCCCTAAAAGGTCCGGGACTTGGTCGGCTCACGAGTCCTGCATAAACCTCTTGGACCAGTTTACAAACCCCAAGAATTTGGACCATTTTATCTTGGGGATACATATATCATCACATCACATTCCACACATCAAATATTTTGCACATAGCATAATTTTTCAACAATTTAGCTTTCCTTTTCCTACTTATCCCCTTCTATATAATCCTGAAAGGATAATCTGGCCGAACCATTACCTACGTTTTTTCCCTTCGTCGGCTCTTTTCACCTCAAAGAAGCCGATGCATTATACAAAAATGTCTTTCTATTTTTTTTTCCGAATGTCTTTCCGACTTCCTTCCCCACCCCTTCAAAATCCAACATATATAAACATAAAACAGCAAAATCTCACTGGCACTCTCAACACGTCACACAAGAATGGCACATATACGCAGAAAACAAACACTTTGAGTGAGTAGAAATACTTGAATACAAAAAATATTTTTTTGCATTGTAAAATTCACTTTTTTCCACATCCTGTACGTATTTGTTAAATGTAAACAATGTTTGTAAATCCCAGGCCCTGAAGATGATCTCAATAAAGATCGAAACGTTGGCACGATAAAGAAAATGCTTTTCTGAAACCTACATCACACCAGACCACATCTCACGATTCCTGAATAATTATAAAAACAATCAATAATACTTATGTTTCTCAATAGAAATACTTATTATTAAATTTAAACTCAAGTAAATTAAACTTTTCATACTTATTCACTTCAGCCAAATTCTTAGCAGAACAAAAATAACTTCTGAAATCATCTGAAACGGAATGTAATGTTTAAAATAGTAACATTTCCAACTTTAAAATTGGTAAATGCAACGTACCATGCATGTGTGTGTTCCCAAATGGATAGAAATCTTTCTGGTTCTCGCCGGTTTCTTGACTTTTGACTAAATAATAGAAATCGTTTTCCTGTTTCAAACAGTAACCGGTGATTTTCATTTGTGCAAATTCCTATAAACATACATTTGAGGTAGAGAAGAACGAAGACAGATAATAAGAAACATACTTTTATAAATCTCTCTAGACTGTGTTCTGGCCCAAAAACAAAATTGAGCCCAACCGTGTTTTGAATACAACTGTAGCGTCGTCCATCAGAGCTTATAACATGATTGGCAACAAAATTTAATGTCGATTCATTCACAGGACAGCTATCAAGCAAGAAAACCGCTATTTCATCCTGAAGGAACCATTCTATCTGGAATGCAGAAAATGAAATTTTTTACAAATTATTTATAATTCTCAATAAAAAAAAATAAAAATAATAGAAAAAATGAACCTCAATAATGCACTTGTTTACAGCTTTGTTTTGCTGGATTGGTAAATGTTGTAGCTTGTCATTAGATTTTAACCCCTCGTTAACAAAACTGAAAAAATATTTTTACAAGCACATTTCTTTATTTGTAATAATAATAATATTTAAAAAAAAAAACCATGCCACTCACTGTTGATCTGTGGTCTGGGCTGACTCTTGGTGGACTAAAGAAGTGCCGAGAACGTCTTGCATGAGATGAGTGCTCAAATTACCCGGCGGAAGATCGGCTGGATATGCTGGTGGAAGTGTTAAGCAGTACATATCCAAAGAGATTGTAGTCTTAGCCAAATCAAACGGTTCCAATCTTTTTATATCGCCGATCAATTCTCCTGAAAGGGTTTGTAAAATCACATTTACACTTGCATGGTAAGAAAAAAAAATAAAATAAAGACATACCTAAGCATGTAGGTATTATTTTGACTGGACTTGTGATTAATTTAGTTTTATCTGTTGATCGAATCGAGCACACCAAATGTAAAAAAAGCGGAAATAATTCATCACTGGCTTCATTGAGGTAATCACTGACGCTGTCAGAATCCATATTGGATAATAATGATGTACGGGCATCATCTTGTGTCGATTCAAATGCCAGCCGATCCCAACCGCCTTAAGAATAAAAAAATTTTAAAATGTCATTTTATAATTGAATAAAAAAAGTTTTTATTTTTAAATTTTATAATCCACTGAAATGTATTTCAGGATATGCTGACCCTACAATCAGCTTACTTTACTACAAAGCAACAATTAGATCTATAATTGACTTTGGATCAATTAATACAGACAAGCTTCTAGATCAAAATTATAGAAATTGGACATCATACAGCACAAATCTCTCAAAACTTGTATGGGGTCTCTTAAGAGCACCCCCAATGATGTCATCAAAGCTGAATGTAACGATCAGCCATTTTCACATAGAAATTGGCAGGACGGTTTGTGTTGCACCAAATGGTGAAAAAAAAATTTTTTTTCACCGCATTTGTGATTTGTCCATAATGAATCTAACAAAAAAATATTGGCAAAAGAAAAAACCTCCTCCGATTACCACGAGTTTTACCTCCCTGTCAAAATTTCAATAAAAAATCGAACAAAGAGACACCCTTCCGATTTTCTCTACAGAACTAAAAATAATTAGAAACCCCCTTAATAGCTATACAGAGTGAGTCATTTTTTGACGCACCATTGGAAAATCAACGTAGGTGGCGTTTAAATCTGACTCAAGGCCTATTTCTTTTGATTTAACATTAAAAAAAAGGAAGTAAGTCAATTTTCAGTGCACCATAGAAAAACAACGTTGGTGCGTCTAATTATGACTCGGCACATTTTATTTTGTTAATCTCGTACCAAAAAATAGGCGAGTCACTTTTCGATGCACCATTCGTTACAAATTAGTTTTGGTAGGTTGGAAGGGAAATAAACAAAGCCAATATTATTAAAACATTATTCAAACACAATGTAAAAATTTAAAAAAAAATTCTTCACAAATTAATTTGATTAAGGTTTAAGAGTATTTTTTTCTGGTAAAGTAAAAAAATTAAATAAATGTAACAATCTCCTTTGTTAGCAAACCAAAAATTTTCAAAATCATTATAATAATTGTTCGAACAGACCTCCATTTGCTGCAACACAGCAGCCTAGTTGATTGTAAAGCGATGATCGGACAAAAAAATACTCTTAAACCTTAACCAAATTAATTTGTGAAGAATTTTCTTTTAAATTTTTTTTATTGTTTTTGAATAATGTTTTAATAATATTGGTTTTGTTTATTTTCCTTCCAACCTACTAAAACTAATTTGTAACGAATGGTGCGTCGAAAAATGACTCGCCTATTTTTTGATACGAGACTAACAAAATAAAATGTGCCGAGTCATGATTACACGCACCAATGTTGATTTTCCTATGGTGCACTGAAAATGGATTCACTTTCTTTTATTAATGTATTAACCAAAGGAAATAAGCCTCGAGTCAGATTTAAACGCACTCACTTGATTTTCCAATGGTGCGTCAAAAAATGACTCACCCTGTATACTAAAAGACTACTCCGGACAAAATCCTGTAATGGTTAATCAACAAGTGCTTGCTGATCTTCAGGAACTTTTCCCTAATGACCACTTAACTGTTTACACCGATGAATCCCTCATGTCTGGTAATGTTGGATGCTCCTGGTTCTGCCCTAATAATAAAGGGGAATCAATTTCTCTGCCGGCAGAGATATCAATGTATTCAGCGGAATTATAAGCAATTAAGGCAGCGCTAACTTTCTTTACACTCAACCTTCCTACGACGAATCACATTATAATTTGCACAGACAGCCTCAGTGCAATCCAGTGCTTGCAAAACACATCTACTAACATCAAAAATTATATTGTAGCTGACATAAAAAAGACTGTTAACAATTTTTCCACTTTTAGAAAAAAGGTCTCTTTCGTGTCGATTAAAGGACATATGGGCGGCAACGAAAAAGCCGACAAACTTGCAAAAAATGCCCCACAGTTACCCACCCGTAGAATCATAAAAATCTCTTATACAGGCATTTTTCAAATATTGGAAACAAGAATTCAAATAGAATGACAAATTGAATATTCTGCCTCAGATAAGGGAATGGCTTATAAAACATTATTTCCACTTGTGAAAATAAAACCGTGGTTTAACAAACTAGACAGGCAAAAAAAGACATAACCACCATACATCGGTTAAGAACAAACCATCTGCGCAGCGTATCTTCACAAGATTGGCATAAAACAACACCCTAATTGCAACGCATGCGGAGTAAAGGAGGACCTAACACACATAATGTTACACTGCAGCCGACATTCGTCAGCAAGAAATAAATTCTACCAGGATCTGGAGAAAGAAGGAGGAGAACACCCAATTACGGAAAGTAGAGCTCTATTCAAGAATCCCAGTGTGTATAACTTGATAATAAAATTTTTAAATGATGTGTCTGAGAAAATATAATTTGAACTGTTTAAAAAGTATTCGTTGTAACATGGCTGTGTAATTGTTTGATGCCAAATAAAAAAATTAAAAAAACACTTGGTCATGCTTTAAAGAATATATCCCCTTTATCAGGCCTCTTAAACTATTTCTAATGATTTATATAGTTTACTGATTACTGATTTATATAAGCTCAGATCTGCATGTGCATGTATATGCAGATATACATATGCAGTGTACAGAATTGAGCCTACCACTTCTTGCAGCTCACTGGCGATTCCAGATTTTGTAATTTGCAATAAATTATTGGCAGGCCTTGAGAATACACCCTAGGTGTAGGGGGAGACCTCGATTTTATCCGTCCAGCTGCTGAGGTTGAGCTCCAGGGGGCATCAACAGCTAGGTCCTTTCAACCCCAACACAATCAGTTTATAGATTCAAATCCACTCATACTTTCACTCAATCGTAACTACATTCTTCCTAATTACAACCACTCAGTTAAAGTGGTGGAGTATTCGATATTCTTCCATTACCCTTTACACCTATAATATAGCTAACCAAATTGAGCATTGGTGGGTATAATCAATATTCTGTCATCAGCCGTCTCACCCTACACATTCACACCAATAAATAAATTCACTCTCAATACACCCTAGGGACACAAAACCCAAATACTCATTGCCATGCTAAAGTAAAATCTCGTATCAAGTGACATTCCAACACGCTCTTTATACGGAGCCAAGGAATTGCACCCTTCAATTAACTGTGAGACATTGAGCAACCTTTCTCTACATGTCAGACACATATGCTTGGGCTTTTTGCCAAAAGAAAGTGTCTGTGTGTCAATCTTTAATTGAGGTGAGGATGACCCTTCTTTTACGAATCAGCTAGCGATAGTGCTCTTGATATGCAAGATCTTATCTGCCACCGCTGTCACTTTCTTTTGACCATGATGCTCCAGTTCGTCATATCAACAAGAGCACATGGACAGCAGTAACCACACTGAGGGTGACAGTGCAGACTAGGTAAGATTAAGCAAAGCAACCATCGTCTTGAATCACCCCAAATCGCATATAATTCCGCCGTGTAAACACTACAGTGGGGTGGAAACGACCAGGAAGTGGATGCAACCTTGCGATAAACGGTGCATGCCACACCCTTGCCGGTCTTGGAGTCACCTGTGAAGATGAGCTGAAAACTGAAAACAAATATAAACATCTAATTACAATAATAAAAATTAATGGTTGAAGCCATAATCCCTGACTTTTTGAATACAATTATAACAATAAGGCTGATATTCATATCAAGATGTTATTTTATCAAGTATAAACTATAATTTTAAATTCACTAATTGTGTGGTGTGCTTGACCAATTAATATATTACAATTAATTAAGGTTTTTAGTTGAGATAAAAAAGTCAATGACACAAGCGGGATTCGAACCCACGACCTTAGGCTTGATACGCCGCTGCTCTACCACTTGAGCTATCGTGACCTCGATCCACTCGGACACCAACTTCCCATCTCAACCGCACCTTTTGAATTTTCCCTCCTTTTTGCCCAGCGGCGTATCAAGCCGAAGATCGTGGGTTCGAATCCTGCTCGTGCCATTGACTTTTTTATCTCAACTAAAAACCTTAATTAAATGTACTATAATTTTAATTAAATTTGACCTTTATACAAGTCAAATGAAGGTAATATTAATTATGGGCAATAACATTTAATCTAAAAGCAATAAATACATGGAGGAGTTGAGTGCGCTTCAAACGTAAAATTGCTGGAGTTGCTATTGACCCCTCCAGAGGGAATGTATTTATTAGTGCGAGTGCTTATGTATGAGTGTTGAGTTATGTTGAGTACTCCACAGGCCCGTTGAACAAGTTAATTAGTACAACGGTTACATGGAGCAGGATAAGATGGTGATACATTGGGTAATGGCAAAAGCTTGTCTACTCAATTTTTAAATTGTACAAACTCTTTGAAAGGTTACCCATCATGAATGTACTTATTGGTGTAAATGGAAGTTGATCAGTGGGGTGATGGACATTTTACCGACCACCTCTTTAATTGTAGGGGTGGGTCCTCAGTGGTGCATCTGTACTCTTAGTACGGTAGTAGCACCCAAGTAAAGATTGGGTTAATCTTTTTAGTAGTATGAATGTGTATTTTGTATGTGTGTGCTTGTAAATAAAGTTAAATTCTAACCCACCACATGTGCAAGGGTTAAAATGAGTGAAGATAACTACTATGCTAGTAGTTTGATCAAAAGAAAATGATTGCCTAGCCACCCATTCAACCAGAGAGGACATAGAAGAAATTATAAGAAGCGGAAATGGACTTTCTATGACCTAAAAGTTGCAAAAATAATGTGAGATAGACAAAATCCGTCAGAGCTGGCAATGATCTTAGTGGTTAACTGGCCAGGAGAAAAATAAAAACATAGAAAAATAAATAAATATACATGTTTACACTCTGCTTTAAAAAAAGTTTACAAAGAGTCACTGTTGATAAAACAGAAAAACTTACCAATCATGCTGTTTTGGTTACTACTAAAGTCAATTGACTGAAGTGTTATCCCGTCAAATTCCTGCGTATCAATCCTGTGGCTAGAGATATCCAATCCAACATCAGCCTTGACAACATTAAAACAAAAAATAAATGTTATTTTCTAATCCAAAATTGATATAGTTCAAATGTATTTGCGATAATTACAAGCCGAGAAATCTGGACAGGAGGACAACAGAAAAAATACTCAGGGCTGGTAGGAACTGATTTGAAACAAACTGTCAGTATCTCTAAAAAACGTTGTTTTATGAGCTTGTGCAGAGGAAACAACTCTGGCGGCAAGCAAGTCGAAGGTATAAACTGAGAAGAATTGGCAACAAGCATATCCTCTTTTAATAAATGTTTGCAATGCCCACAAACAGTCTAAAAATAAATAAATATAAAAAAATGAAAAACTTTGATATTAATTTAATAAATAAAATACACAAGCGTAATACTTGCCTGCATATATTTCGTGATATCAATCTCTAACAGAGTTTCTTCACATTCGTCCACAGCTGATTGGATGTCTATGCTGCATATTTTATGATTTGAATGAAGCGATTTAAACAAAGCTTCGACAAAGGCTTTGTTAAAAGCTTGAGTAATAACTTTGCAATGATGTTGTAGATCAAGATCATCTGAAGTTTCAAATAAACATTACGACTGATCAGTGTAAATAGTCAAGTAGTACTAATTACCTGGAGTGGTTTCAGAATCCATTTTGTTTATAAGATGTTCTGGTTCTGATTTTGTAGATTTGTTTTGAAAAATGTCATTACGTCTTTCAAAACTGGATTTAAAAATTAAAGCGTCTACAAGATTGGATAAAGGGCAATCATAAACGTAAATCGGAAGAGTAAGAGCACCGAAACAAGGTTTATAATTTTCATCCTTTTTGTTACAATATTTTGCAAAATCGTCCCCATCATTTGTAAGTAGTCTTTTCTGAAATCCAATAGGCTTCATTTTTGCTCCTACAGAACTGGTGCGAACTCTTTTGTTATCAACTTTGATCGAGTCAGAATTTTTTTTCATTGGGTCCCATGAGCTTGACCTTAATCTAAACGGTTCAAGCATTTCTTTTAAATTTCCTTTTTTAGAAGATACGGATTCAAAGACCAAATCTTCCTCACTAAATTGCAAATCGATTTTGCTTGAAGCTTTGGAGAAAGACATCAAATCTGAATATTCGACATCGCTGACACTTGAAGTCTGCTGGAAATGTTCTGAAGATTCATGATTTGATGAAGATTCAGGGACTCGATTGTAAAATTCTTTAGAATCGTTTAATTTCTTTTCAGTAGTCTCGTATAATTTGTACATCTTGATATCAGAACCTAACATGAGCGCTTTTAGATCCTGAAAAGATGCTGGAATAAACGTCAGTACACAATGAGTCGACGCCATGCTTTTAACGAAACATCGCCATTTAGGGATGTACACTTTCTGTTTTTTTCCATCACACAGGTGATTTTTGCTGTTTTGTTTCGATGTTTTGATATCATCAGTTGATCCTGAAATTGTGTTTAATTTAAAATTTATATTTAAGTTTATAATAAAATATAGGTAAACCTTGAGGAGGGGTTGTCACTTCAGACGCATACATTGCCCACGATATCATTCTAGCCCAATCGCTAGCAGCAGGAACGGTTTCACATGTATCAGTGGATTCAGTATCAGAAACCTTTCTTCCATCAAATTTGTTAACCCCTAATTTAATTTTAAAAAATCAGTTACAATTCTTATTATATAAAACATTTATTCATCCTAGGTTGGGAATGAGGGACTATCAGCTGCTAGGTCATTTTCTCAACAATCAATCTCTAAATCCACTCACACTCTCACTCACTCTTAAATAAATCATTTCTTATTTGCATACCATACACTCAGTTAGTGTGATGGCGTAGTTGATATTCCTTTATCACCATTTACACCTATTAAATAATGGGTACTCAATATTCCGCCATCGGCCCTCTTACACTATACATTCATGCAAATAAATACATTTACTCGCAACACACACTAGGAACATAAAGCTATCAGTAGAAATGATGAATGAGGGAGTGAGTGTGGTGTACAATCCTTTTTTTTTAAAATAGTTCCTACTAACAGTAAGTTGTTTTGCAACAGTCCGGATTTTGAGCCCTTTAGCTCATCATCAGGTTGAAGGATTCTACAACCATGTCTCTCAACATGAATCGCAGAAGTGAACTCGCCGATACCCCCGCCAACGCGACGTTCCAATGATAAGCTGGTTTTTTATTGGCGCTCAATTTGAACGTGTGAAAAGCGAGATTATAACACAAGTAAATATTATAATGGTAAATAATGTAAGAATTATTTTGCCTGCGAAATTGGGAATGAGTGTAAGAATTAATGGTTTTTACAATCGATACCCTAAATATTTGATTTTTAACTAATTAAGGGGTTAGTTAAGAATTCAAAAATGGGTTGATAGAGCTTGTTTAACTAATTATGGGGTTAGTTAAGAAGTTGATTTAAATATAATTTTTCATGTCGGAGCTGTTTCTCCTCGTTTTGATTATTTTGCCTGCGAAATTGGGAATGAGTGTAAGAATTAATGATTTTTACAATCGATACCAACCTGAAAAAAAAAATTAAAAATAAAACAAGGACCAAATATTCTAATCTCAACAACATCAAAAGTAAATGTTTATAAACACTACAATAAGCGAACAAACCAGCTACAAATAATATAATAATAAAAAACCAAAAATTAGTTTTAATAGTTTTAAAAAAAATAATGATCTTGTAAATCATAGATAGGATAAACCTTTAAAACTTCAACAAAAGACGAAATTTTTGTCTAACATTAATCTAACTAATATTTTAATTAAACTACTTGTTGACAGCTAGAAACAAAATAAATAAAGAAAAATATAATTTTCCCCCATAGGAGGAAAAAATGGGGGAAGTGTAAAGTACACAATTAATAGCAATTTAGCAAGCTGCATGCTTTAAACAGGCGATTTTAAAAATCGCAGATAGAGTTTTAATCTTTAAAGCTTTAATATAAGATATTAGCATCTTATTAGTTATTATCATAATAATTATAATCCTAATTTCAATTTACTTCATTAAATCTAAACAATTTACTTTAGTGATTAAAGATAGTAGATAAAAAATTAGTATAATACCTTAATATTATTAAATTATTATAAAATAATAACAATAAAAATAATTAATTTAATTATTTGGACATTTAATATTATCGATCGTTCGATCGAACAAATTTTCGGAATTTAAGGACCATCTAAAAGAAACAAAACATAATTTCAATTCAATAATTTAAATACTACAGTGTTACATAGTTTCAACAAACTAGATTTGAGAAATTTGAAGTTAAAAAATGTAATATTGAACATGGAGATAAATGCATTAACAATATAACAGATTTTGATCTACCTCCCATTTTAAATATGTACATAATTCACTACTTTCGTGGTCCGCTTGACCAATTAATACATGACAATTAATTAAGGCTTTTAGTTGAGACTTTTTTACTCAGACACGAACTTCCCATCTCAACCTTACCTTTTTCTGAATTTGGAGGAGAATCGAATCCTGATTGCTCGATATTTGAAAACTCAAAAGGTGGGGTTGAGATGGGAAGTTAGTGTCCGGGTGGATCGAGGTCACGATAGCTCAAGTGGTAGAGCAGCAGCGTATCTAGCCGAAGATCGTGGGTTCGAATCCCACTCGTGCCATTACCTTTTTTTCATCTCAACTAAAAGCCTTAATTAATTGTCATATGTATATAATATTAAACGTCTAAATAATTAAATTAATTATTTTAATTGTTATTATTTTTATAATAATTTAATAATATTAAGGTATTATTCTAATTTTTTATCTTTTATCTTTAATCACTAATTTATAAGTAATTTCTTACAGTATTTACCGTTATAATATTTACTTGTGTTATAATTCCCGCACGTTCAAATTGAGCGCCATTAAAAAACCAGCTTCTCATTGGAATGTCGTGTTGGTGGCGGTATCGGAGGGTTCACTTTTGCAATTCATCTCGAGAGACGTGGTTGTAGAAATCCTTCAACCTGATGATGAGCTAAGTGCTCAAAATCCGGATCGTTAGAAAACAACTTACTATGAGTAGGAATTATCTTTTTGAAAAAAAAAAAAAAAAGGATAAACTATCAGTACTATGCACAACAAAACAACCCTGTTTCTGCCAAGAAATGGAACATGGGACCCAAGACACTTGTTACCGTGCACAAGAAGAATTCTCATATCAGGTGGCTTTCCCACATGCTGTATATGGAGCCAAGGAATTGCACACTTCAATTAGGTATAAAACATTGAGCAATTTCTCTACAAGCCAGACACAGTGTGCAAAGTCTGAGTGTCAACCTAGCATGGCCTATCCTTAATGCTCTTGACACACGAGAGCTTCTCTGCTGATCCAGCACACTGACACCGCCAGTTTTTTCTAATAAAGTTTTTTAATGCATTCAGTGCAGTATGTTATTTCAATTTACCCCCTCCTAGATAGCAAAAATTTCCTATCATCCATCTGGAGAGTTGGCTTGTAAGGCCTTCATGATGATCACAAAGCACTGAACATGTTAATAAATTTTTAGTGTTGTTAATGGTGGTTAAGTGTAAAGGTTGGGATGTCACGGCCTTAGCGGCCTCATCTGCCTTATAAAATATTTAGAAAAAACAGTTTGAAAAAAAATTATTTTCTCAGGTTTCATTATTTTATGGAGTTTTCCAGCTAAATAAGTAAAAAAATGAAGTAATTGAAATTTCAACACCAACAACTAAATCAAAGATTAAAAAAATATTTACCTGATGGAAATGGTACTGGATGCTTTCCAACATCTCTCGCCCTTTTTATAATAAGTTGCATAAGTTGCGAAGATTCGTGTTCAGTCAGATGTAACTCACGGTGATGAAGCTCTTGTAATTGGGTGAGAAGATTTTCCATTAGAAGATTATTTGGTGCATCAGTACGTGATTTATTGTTCCAAACATCACTTAATTCTATATAAAAAAAAGAAGTAGTTAAATCCAGTTTTCTTGAAATGTGAATTGATTTTTACCTTGGATGAATACAGGTGATAATAACTCTGCCTGTTGACATTTCGGCAGTAGGTTCAGTAAGTTGTACGCAAAAGGTATCCTATGAATTCTTTTGTCTTCAATTGCAACAGCATGTGGCCAGTTTCTATTAAATAAATAAGTAAAAGAAAATAATAACCGTTACAACAATATGTTGTTAACAAATGTAAATATGTTTTGGTTAATTTAACAAATAAAGTTTCTGTAACTTGTACAAAGTGTGAAGTAAAGTTTTTCATACTCACTCGAGAGGGTTGTGATGTAACGATGACGGATCCAATGCCAAAGGTGGGGTAATTTGTTGGTTATGGCACATCAACTGTAGATGATCGAATGTAAGTAAATTGGATATACATTCAGCATCTACTCTCCATATCTAAACAGAAACAAATAAAGAAAATTAACCTAACAATTTTAATATTTAAAATAAAGAAAATAGAAAACAAGGTAAGCAGTAGTAAAAATCTTGTTCATGTGGAGTTTAATACTCGTACTAACCTTTTTTTTCATTATTTACAATTCAATCTATTTTCAATTTTTTTAAACATGTATGTTTGTGTATATGGTCAGTCTTAATCAATTTTCAATGGAGGGTCTGTGTCTATATCTTTTTGCACGGCGTTTGATTTAACTGAACAGGTGGTTTGTTCTCTGTGGACTGGATTTTAGTTCAGATTTTTTATCAATAGTTATATGCTAGTGTACATTTTTAACTGTATCTTTATGACAAATTTATCTGAGAGGAATTGCCTTTTTAATAATAGAGGGAGATTCGAGGCTTCTGGCATAACAACTACTCGAGTTAATTGATAGTGAACACATTTATTTTGGGTTTTGTATAATTTTTTTGCGTTTGTCTCGAGCTGTGTTACAAAATAAGAAGTTTCTGTAGTCTAAAGTAGACCTCCAAAAGTATCAATGCCATACTGCAGTTTGCGTCTCATAAATTATGTTTCTCTCACCTCTTTTTTAGTACATGTTCTATGTGGCTCTTCCATCAATGTTTTATCCAGATAGAAGCCTAAGAACTTGACTTTTGTTTAAACTTTAAATTCAAGTTCAGTACGTAAGGGGAGTTTTCTCCTTGTGGAAAACAGTTAGGACAGATTTTTCAGTAGATTCTGTCTTTGGAAAGTTACGACTTATCGAGTTCATATATTCCTTTATTTTTTCTAATGTTTGTTATAGTCCATTTCCTAAGGTTTCTGTAAATATCATGAATTGGAATTGATCACATATTGAGATCTAGTATGGTGGCCAAAAACATTGGACAAGGAGACACAGAATAAGCTACAAAGTCTACAAAGACTAGCATGTCTTAATGTCACGGGATAATACACACTCAACCTTCCACCCTTACAAATTTATGTGAAAAAGCTTTTGATAGTACCAACAGACTCCTGACGTACAAGGAAATAAAACCAGATCTAAGGAGAAGCCACCACAAAGTTCTGGAGAGAATTAAAATTAATGATATAGCTATGTTACATGACAAAATGAGAGAAAAACTCAACTTTGATAGACCCTTCCAAATGGACATCAATAATAGAGATCTTTGGAAGAAAGGTAGCACCAAGTTTCAGGAAGGAGCCCTAATATGATACATAGATGGATCCAAAATGGAAAGTAAGTGTAGGGGTAAAAGGGACAAACTATATCCTGGTAAAGTCCCTTGAACAAATCCCAACAATTTTCCAAGCTGAGGTCCATGCAATACAACTCTGCGAACAGGAGTTAATAAAGAAAAATATGAAAGGTGTACATATTTGCATACAATTAAGGTTTTTAGTTGAGACGAAAAAAAGTTAATGGCACGAGAGGGATTCGAACCCACGACCTTCGGCTAGATACGTCGCTGCTCTACCACCTGAGCTATCGTGACCTCGATCCACTCGGACATCAACTCCCCATCTCAACCCCACCTTATGAGTTTTCCCTCCTTTTGCCATTTTTTTAGACTCGACTAGGATTCCTGCATTGTCTGCATAAAAGACTGAGAGAAGTTATTTATGGTAGTTCACATTATGACCTCTGATACAATCATTAACATCTGCCATGAACAGAGAAAAGAGTAATGGAGCAAGAACTTCTCCTTGGAGAACTCCAGTCACAACATACAAAAAAATTCATTTTAACGACTTGTAAACCACAAATATGGTTGTCACTCCCCAATTAGGGGTTATACTCCGACGGGAGCTATCGACAGGTAGGTCATTTCAGCCCCAAACACATGCAAACTGTAATCTAGCCTAATATTACTTAAATTGGATAAATCAGCCACACAAATAAATACATTCATACTTATAAATACAGTCATGCATTCATTCTGATTAGTTGGTGTAGTACTGGATATTTCCATCAATCTATTAATAACCTAACACAAATTCGAATCGATGAGGTAGTTTTATAAACATTCTGCTTAAACACACACACACTCCCTGAGAGGCTATGGAGATGATATAGATTTCGCTATCACCCCTCACACTAATAAATACATGAATTCAAACAAAACATAATGATAAAACACCTGGAATATAACTATATACAGTAAAATACCCCCAAATCCTCTAAAAAAATCAGGGGACCCAGAAACCGACTGCTCTACTCGAGAGGCATGCCTACACACTCTCTGTATGGAGCTAAGGCATGGCACGCCTCTATTATGTGGGACACATCAAGCAACTTTTCTGTGCATAAGGGGCTTTGGCCCAAAAGTAGGTCTTATGTCAACCATGTATGTCCTATTCTCAATTGGGTGAGGATGATCCCTTGTTTCCAGCTTAGGTTCTCTGAGGGCCATCTACCGTCCATGCTCTTGACAGTAGAACTATCATTTACAAAAAGTACTTTTTTCTTATTTTCTTTGCTTTTATACATCTATTCTTTTGTCCGTTGTAATAACTGTAAAGTTTATACAATAAATAAATAATGCGCTTAACTTCGGATGGGAAAAGCTTTGGGAAGGAGTTCAAATGGTAGAGGTTGTACATTGTGCATCAAGGAAAGATAGTTTGAATATAGAAATGTTTTCTCTTTTGTCCATGATCCACCATGATTCTCCTCTGAAGGGATGTAAGACATTTCAACTATTTTAACGCCAAAAATGGTCATTGTAATAAAATGTTACAACACACCTTTCTATTGTAATTATTTTTTATTACTTAAATACCATTGGCAATAAATAAATTGGAAGTTGTAATTGGATTACAAATAAAAAATAAATGTGTGGTGTTTAGTGACCATTACTTGATGATTATTTGGAGGTCGTGAGATGCGGTCTGGTGGTCTTTTTTTAATCTAAAATTGTCTAGCATTGAATAAATTCATTCTTTTTTTTTAATCTAAAATTTTCTAGCATTGTATTAATTCATTTTTTTAAATCTAAAGTTTTCTAGCATTGTATAAATTCATTTTTTTTCCACATCCTACATGTATTTGTAAAATTTAAACAATGCTTATAAATCCCAGGCCCTGAAGATGATCTCAATGAAGATCGAAACATTGGCACGATAAAGAAAATGCTTTTATAAAACCTACGTCACACCAGATCACATCTCATGACCTCCAAATAATCATAAAAAATAAATTAATAAAATTAACAGTTAAATTGTTAACTAGACGAACTGCTTAGGTTTAAGAACAGTAATTGAATATACAACATTACTATACAGAAAAATTGTTTATAGCTTTTTTCTATCAAATTAACCTTTTTTAAACTTCAAATTAACCTTTTTTTAAACTTCAAATTAACCTTTTTAAACTTCAAATTAACCCTTTTAAACTTCAAATTAACCTTTTTAAAAATTTCAATGAACCCTTTTTAACTTCAAATTAACCTTTTTAAAAATTTCAATGAACCCTTTTTAACTTCAAATTAACCTTTTTAAAAATTTCAATTAACCCTTTTTAACTTCAAATTAACCTTTTTAAAAATTTCAATTAACCCCTTTTTTTAAAGCAACAAAAACTTAGATCATATCAAATATAAGCAAGCAAAGTATCCTGTAGATATGAGATTTTTGTTTAAACAGAAAATTATTGGGAACTTATACAAAATACCATATTAACAATAATTTCAATTAAAATTAAATATCATATAAAATTAAATATAAAAATAAAGGATTCTACTTTTAATTTGAAATAAAAAAAAATTATATTTATTTAAAAAAATATAAAATTGGTTCTTATCAAAAATATCTCATAAAAATTAATTGCATTTAAAGTTAAGATATAAAATTAAATATAAATATAAAGGATTCTCTTTTTAATTTAGGAATTTTTAAAAAAATGTATCACAAAAAATTATAAAATTAGTTCTTATCTAAAATACTGAATGAAATGAATTACAACTAAAATTAAAAGTTATATAACATTAAATATAAAAAATCAAGGATTCTTCTTTTAATTTGGGAATTTAAAAAATTAAAATTTTTTTAATATAAAATTGGTTCTTATCTAAAATACCACATGGAAATTGGAAAAAACATAGAAAAATAAAGGACTTCTTTTAATTTGGAAATTAAAAAAAAAATTATATATTTTTTTCAATATAAAATTGGTTCTTATCAAAACTACCACATGAAAATTAATTAAAAATGAAGGATTCTCTTTTAATTTGACAATTTTTGTTTTAAATATAAAATTGGTTCTTATCTAAAATACAGTATGAATATTAATAACAATNTATAAAATAATAATTTTTTAGATTTTTTTATTCTATGTAACTTAATTTTAATTGTAATTAATTTTCACGTAATCTAAGAGTCCAATTATTTATATATTAAAAAAATCGCAGAAATACAGGAATTTTACTGTACATGCTTCTATTTCGTATTATTTATCTGTCTGCTTAAAAAAAGTGTTACTTTGAAAATAAAAAGGGTTAATTTGTAGTTGAAAATTGAAAAAGCTATATAATTAACACTGGTAAATATATACAGTTTGTCTGTATTGCTAGATGAATATCCTGAAATCTCCAGCATAAAAGGATTTCCGGCAAATTTAACTTCCTGTTTAAACTTTTAAGGAAGATTGAAAAACTACCGTTTTGCTTTCATTTTGAAACGTGGCCGGACTTATAATCAACAAAACAGCTAATGTAAAATTTCTTTTTCTTTTTTTTAAATACATTTTCTTTTAGAGATCGCTCAGAAAACGTGTATATGCAAAGGCATATACAAAAAAAGAAGCGTTTTCGTACTGAAAAACCTCACTTTATATTTCCTTGTCGTTATAGAGTGAAAAGTTTTTCCCCTCGTCGAATATAACGCAAGCAACCTTGCGAACAGTTTTCCTAGTTTATCTCGGTGCGATTTGCGTTGAAAAAAAAAAAAAACAAAAAAAATAATTCCAGGTTGGGGGAAAATATAGCTGGAA